TTATCCATGAAAAAATAGATTAAAATTTGTACACTTTTGGAATATTCCTTGATCTCTCGAGGGCCTTCGAATGTCTTGATCCAGTGTGTTTGAAAGAAAAACTTATAGCTATAGGCATTCGCGAACCAGTTAACTCATGGATCTATTCGTACACAACAAATAGACCTCTTTTTGTGTCTATTAATAATATTTCCTCGGAAATATACTACAGTAATTTAGGAATAGCCCAGGGTTGCATATTGGGCTCACTACTATTTTTACTTTATGTAAATGATATGCCTGAATATATCTCAGAAAAACATATATTCATGTATGCAGACGATACCACCATACTTGTCTCAGCGGAATCCGTCGAGTTAGCACAATCTCAGATCAAAAATGTAATACTGTCGTTTAAAAACTGATGCTACCGAAATAATTTGGTAATAAATCTGGATAAGACAGTGTGTATTCAGTTTTCTTATGGTGAAAGAAAAAAAAAACTACTTCTTTGTTTGAAATTGCAGACAACGTGGTTATTAAATCAGTTAACAGTACTACGTTTCTTGGCACGATTGTGGACAACACTTTAAATTTTCGTGAACACGTAAACAATACCTGTTAAAATTAAATAAATCATATTTCGCGATATTGTCGTTAAAGGACGACGTTAATATAAATGCGTTGGTTACACTATACTATTCTCAAGTGTATTCCATAATCAGTCAAAACATTATTGTTTGGGGACAGGCATCGGAAAGTTTGAGAGTATTTATCCTACAAAAACGAATAATTCGAACAATATTTGGTTTACGCTTTAAGGACAGTTGTCGAAAAAACATTCTTACGGTTGCTTCAATATATATTTATAAATTACTATCACATACGTTCACTAAGTTAAATGTTCTTAAAACAGCAACTGACTTACACGCGTATAACACAAGAAATGCAAGGATACTTTATCTTCCCCATCATAATCACACAAATTTCAGGAAGTCTCCTGAATATGCAGGCTCCCTACTTTTTAATAAATTACCGTCTAGTTTTAAAAATTAATTCACTAAGAAATTTTCAAAAAAAATTAAAACAATTCTTAATCAGTTATGCCTTTTATTTAGTACGTGAATTTACAGAATGTTTAACTGAAATTATTTAGAACATGCCCAATGTCTGTTGCATATTTTTATTTTTGTATTTTTAATATGTTTTGTGCAATTGTTAGCGACTTATTGTTTATTGTCTTTGTACTGTATATTACTTTTAATTGTAACTATGTATTATTTTAATGTTATATTGTAATTTTTGACATACCCTATGCATACATGTATGTAACAAAGGGCAAATAAAAATATCTATCTATCTATCTCTACAAATCACCTTGGAAATTTTAAACTAAACTAAATCTATATCCACACAATTTTAGTACACGACTTCTGAAGTTACGACCCTGGTATATTTAAAGTGCTTATTAAGAACAGGGAAGATTAAGGGATTAAGAACAAACAAATAAATTTTATTACAATTTATTTTATAAAAACCAGCTTTTAGCTGCGATAATATTTAAAATTGGCTGTTGGGAGTAGGACTTTTAAAAATTGTACAGTGTGCTGGGAATAACTTTGCTGGAATTCTGGTACAGATTTTCGTTTAAACAGGTTACGGAAAATTACAAATTTCGGGTACGGTAACAGCAAAGTACAAATGGAAATTCTTATTTTCCATTTCTTCGAGATAATTCGAGCTCCCTTAACCTTCGACCATCTCTTTTCCGGTTGTGCAGAATCCAATTTTTAAAGACACTAGGTAGAGTGCCTCTACCAATGTAAACAAACAATTTGGAGTAAGTTTATTTTTGAGTTGCAATTCTTATAGCATTAAAAAGAACATAATGAGATTTCCAGAAAAAACGATTTAAAAAGAAGAATGTTTATAAAAAAAACTCGTACGAATAATCAAAAACCTGAAAAAAAAAACATTATTCTTCTTCTTAAGGTGCCTTCTCCATTATTGAAGATTGGCTATAACTACAGCAAATTGCTCTCTATCTTCAGCTGTTCTTAGTATCGAATGTGTGTCCATATCTGTCCAGTCTCTTACATTCTTCAACAAGGAGCATTTTCTTCTTCCTGGACCTCTTCTTCCTTTTACTTTCCCTTCCATTATAAGTCGTAGGAAGTTGTATTTTTCTCATCTGTAGATATTTCCTAGATAACTCGTTTTTTTGTTTTTTTACAATATTTAGGAGTTATTTCTCAGTACCCATTCTTCTTAGCAACTCGTTGTTGGTCACGTGCTCTGTCCAAGAGATCTTCAGCATCCTTCGAAAAACTCATCTTTCAAAGGCTTCTATACGCCTCATGCTTGTAATTCCGAGAGTCCATGTTTCCACTTCGTATAGCAATATGGAATAAATAAACGTTTTTCAATTTCTATTGGATATCCAACATTAACGTAGAGTTTATTAGGAATTTTTTCATTCGTTGAAATGCGGACCTAGCATATTCTATACGAGCACGTAGTTCGACCTCGTGGTCAAGATCGTTTGTTTTCTAGCAACCAAGATACTAGAATCTTTATACTGGTTCTGTATGTTTGTTATAGATAGGACTATTAATGTCGACATTTAGTGCACGTGTAACAGCCATTACTTTTGTTTTATTTGTGTTTATATTTACTCCCAAGCTATCTCCCTCTCTCGTTATGATATTGAAAAGTCGTTGTAAATACTCAGCACTGTCTGCAATACTGACGGTGTCGTCTGCGTATCTTAAGTTGTTTACGTATTCTCCCTTGCTTTTTATTTCTTTTTTAATATTTTCAAAGGCATTTTGAAAGATCTTTTTGGAATATATTGTTATGTATCAGTTTATCAATCAGAAATAGAATAAAGAGTTTTTTATTATTTTAATATACCGCGGGCATATAAGTTAAAATACAACCCTGTACTTATTTGTAATAGTTAGAATAAGAGAAAACATTGTTCCGTGACGGGACTCTAACGAGTTTTTCCGAGAAAAAATGAGTGAATAGTGAAAAGACAATGGAACCCATATAATTATAGATTTAGGAATAAACTTGTAATTGTATTTTGCGGTGAGAATTTTTCGAAAGTAAATAAGAATTAGATTTAGATAAGAGATAACAAGAATTTGAAAACTTATTTCTGTTGAAAAAGGCACAATTGTTAATGGTTTCTGAAAAGTAATTTGAGTGAAAGTAATTTATTTGTTTTAAATATCATGTTGGTTTCTAAATCGAAAATAAGTGGGAAAGATGAATGCTTATGATTGATTAAAAAAGAATGGTGGGCATGAGAGAGTTGAGAAGGTTTTCTGGGAGAGATTGAAAAATTATTATGTTACCGGCAGACCAGAAGAGAAGACGTGTTTTCGTGTAGTCAATCTGAGTACCAGTGTTTTCGTTTGTTAGTGAAAAAGGTGGAAGCTGAGAGCAGATCAAAATCGAGAAGATTAATACCTCTTTTGAGTCTGCATAGTCCACGAGATATAATTGAGAAAGAAAGGAGAATTTGTGAATAAAGAGTACCGGTCAAAAGAGGCTTGGGCTTGTGTTTTCGGAGGAGTAGTTTGCTGGTATGCGGTTTGGATCGATGCTGAGAACGGGAAGGATTTGATAGTAGCCGGACATAATCAATCAAGGACGGAACTGTGGTTTGATGGAGAGGAGACATCATTGGTATAATTGATAATATCAGTGATAATTTGAATGAAAGAAAATTTTAAGATATTCTAAAGATAAAATCAAATATAAGCATACGAACTAAGATTCCAAGTTTCAAAGAGTTATTTTTTTTTGTGAATAAATTATATTTTTATATGGTAATTTTTTTTTAGTAGATATTATTATAAAACAGATCAATAGATAGTTTGTAATTAAAATTAAATTTAGAGTATAGGAGTTTGTTGGGAAAGATAATTGCCCACAAAAGTTATTTATTAATATTCATCGTATTGTTTATTGAAAATAAATAATAATTTGTGTGCATATTTATGTTGTTTTAATGTTAGTTCCGTTTCCTGTTCTATCCCGATTATGAGCAACTAGGATATACTGAAACCACTAGAAGAGATATATAAAGTAAACTGATTAAAGTAATAATTAACAAAAAAAGGCACCCTGAGAATTTTTAATAGTAATTGAATTGTATGACTCTGCATAAATTAGTGAATTCATTAATTAAATAATTGGATTAATTAAATTAGTGTTAATTAATAATAAAACATCATAACGCAGATCACAACAATATATTAAATAACAGTGGAGAAAGTACACAGCCCTGGCGAACTCCTCTTTTTCTTGGCAATTCTGCTGTCAGACGATTGTCTATTTTGATAGATGCTATCTGATCCCAATATAGTTTAAGTGTTACAGTGTCTATACCATGTTGTGTTAGAGTTTCTATGAGTTCTGTGTGTTTTACTCGATCAAACGCTTTTTCGTAGTCGATAAAACAGAGAAACACGTCTTTTCGCTGATCTCGGCATTTTTGTAGTAATATTTGGAGACCAAATAATACCTCCCTTGTACCAAGCCCCAAACGAAATCCAAATTGATTGTCGCTCAGGTTTCTTTCGCATTCTCTGTATATTCGTTGATGTACAATTTTGAGTAAAATTTTCAGAAAATGGCTCATCAGGCTAATTAATCTGAACTGTGAGCATCTACATGCTTTATTTTTCTTGGGTATAGGTATAAATGTCCTTCTAAGCCAGTCTTCTGGGAAGATTCCAGTGGTATATATTTTGTTAAATAATATTGTTAACGTCTGAAGATTTAAAAACATTATACAAGATGGAAAAATGCTATAACTTTAGGAAGATAAAAGACATTTTGAGAAACTAGAAACACAAGAAGATTATTGAACAGGTGAACAAGTCTAGGAACAAATATATAATATATTACTTAAGGAAAGAAGAATAAAGATAAGATTAGTAATGAAGAAAGACGAAACTAATTTAATATAATCTAAAATAAAGTATACATATTTTTTTATTACCTACCGATATGTAGTCGATCCTTGGATCATCGTCCAAAGTTCCATCAAAATCTGACCAACCGTTTTCAGTGATAATAATAGGAATGTCTGGGTAAGTTTTCTTAATCCATTTTAACATTTTGCGTATACCAAAAGGAGCTTTCTGTAAAATAAATTTTTTATTAATATGAGTTGTTCAACTGTTGTATTCTAAATCAAATAAATAATTTATAAATACAGAGTAATAAATTTTTGCGACAAACTACGTCATATCTGATATTATAGGAAAAAAAAGGAGGTATCTGTAAGCTTTACATTTAAAATTAAATACAAATATACAAGTTCTGAAGCTATTTTCTTGTGGCATTGAAAATTAATTACTATTTATAACTGGGAATAAGCCACAATTAAAGATAAAAATACGTTTATTGACGTTTCAATTTCCAATTCGGAAATCGTTCTCAAAATACAAACAGTAAATTTACTGTTTGTATTTTGAGAACGATTTCCGAATTGGAAATTGAAACGTCAATAAACGTATTTTTATTTTAATTGTGGCTTATTCCCAGTTATAAATAGTAATTAAATATACAAGGTCTACTATAACTCTGTATTGAATCAAAGATGTTTGTTAAATGTAACACCCTGTATTTTTATCCTGTCAAATTTTATAAAAGGAACTGATTTTCCAAATACTTCTTTAAATCTAATACATAATACTATATACATAAAAGTGTTTTTTGTACTTTATACTAGTATATTATATAACATTATATATTATATATTATACTTTATACTAGTATATTATATAATATATATGTACAGGGTGTTTCAAAAAGGTATGTCATAAATTAAATCACGTATTCCAGGGACAAAAATAAATTGATTGAATCCAACTTACCTTCGTACAAAAGTGTACACAAAAAAGTTACAGCCCTTTGATGTTACAAAATAAAAATTGTTTTTTTTGCATTATCTCCTAAATTACTTGACATTTTGTAATAAAAATGGATACGTTACTTTATCGTTCTGAAAGAGTTTTTCATACAAAAGAAAAACAACAAAATCTAAGCGCACAGAAAAATTTTAAGGGGGTCTGCAGCCCTAAAGCCCCCCAAACTTTGGAGTACGTTCAAATTAAATGAATTTTGTGACATCATTTGTTTAACATATTATTTCTAAAACTTTTTTGTCTTCTATCACTTTTTCAAAAAACTAGTTTTTTCCAAGTTTGCCATGAAATTACAATTAGTTTCTACGAATACAATAATTATAAACCGTTCCACGAGTAATAGTCAATAATTTGAAGCTATCATTATTTATTGTGCGAATAAGATATTGTGCGAATATTCAAAACTTTGGGTAAGTTGAATCAGATTAAATTATGATTTCAATAAACTATCGGGGATATCGTAGGTGAACGTCAAGGAAATAGTGCAGCAACGGCAAGGCGTTGTGCAGTAAAATACCTAAATCGGAATACACCCGATAGATGATTATTTCTGACCATTGATCGTCGTTTACGGAAAACGGGTACATTCCAACCGCAAGTTGATGACAATAGTGTTCGTCCAATAATGGATGCAACTGATGAAATTTTAGAAATCATTGAAGAAGTTCCTAGAACAAGTACAAGGGTAATAGTTGTTCAACTTAATGTTCCTCACGTAAAGCTTTTTAGGCGTTTGAAGAATCAGCTACTTAAACACTATCACTTAACAATGGTTCAAGAGTTAATGGTTGAAGATTATCCTAAAAGAATTTGATTTTGTGATTGATTGTTAATGGAAATGTTAATTTTATTGGAAATACTTTGTTTACCAACGAGGCTACCTTCAGTAGAAATGGAATAACAAACCATCATAACACGCACATTTGGACCGACAAAAATTCTCACGCCAAAAAAAACGACCCATCACTAACTTTCAAAGTTATTGTTTGGACAGGAATTGTAAATAACAATCTGATAGGCCCAGTATTTCTTCCCAACAATTTAAATGTTGATAATTATTTGTAGTTCTTGGCAAACGATTTACAAGAGTATTTGGAAGAAGTGAATGTTGCAATAAGGCAAAATATGTGGTTTCTAGAGGATGGCGCTCCATCGCATTACAGTAATGAAGTACGGGCATACCTTTGCAGACAGTATCCTGGTGGGTGGATTGGAAGGGATCATGACGCACCTATTTCTTAGCCACCCAGATGTCCAGGTCTTAACCCCATGGACTTTCTCTTTTTGGGGTTTAGGAAAGAAAGCGCATTCTGTAACAATAGACGACGAACAACAATTAAGGGTTAGAATAATTGGAGCTACAAATCAATTTCGTCAGAAAAATATGATTTATCAGCGCATTCGGTTTTCCTTATAAAAACTATAACGAATGTGTATTGAAGAAAATGGGGTCATTTTGAACATTTATTGTAATATCATATTTATAGAGGTTATAGACATTTTGCGTACTTGTTAATTCATTTAAGCCATTTATTTAGTTGCACGTAATTTTTTAAAGGTTAATGAAAATGGCCGTAACTCAATACAAACTGTTTTGTGAAAAATGTGATAAAACGCAAAAAATTTTTATAAATAAAGTAGAAAACTGATGATGCCACAAAATTTGATTTGAACGTACTCAAAAGTTTGGAGCGACTTACGATTGCACACCACCCCTATTAAAATTTTTCTGTGCTATTAGATTCTGTTGTTTCTTTTGTATGAAAAATGCTTTCAGTACAAGGAAGTAACGTATCCATTTTTAATACAAAATGTGAAGTAGTTTAGGTGATAATGCAAAAAAAAACAATTTTTATTTTGTAACTTCAAAGGGCTGTAACTTTTTTTGTGTACACTTTTGTACTAAGGTAAGTTGGATTCAATCAATTTACCTATCCTACATAGAAAAAGTCCCTTGACGAAAAAGAAGAAGTAGTTCGAGAATATTATTATGTAATAGAAAAAAATCTTTGCACAATTATTTTTTGCTATGCTCATTCACATAAAGCTATTAATTCAGAATCATTTGCTGTAAGTTGTTGGTGTCGCTAGATGAGGTATTGGTACATTTGGTGTGTCGAAAGAAATTTCTGAATAAATCCATAAATCCACAAGGAATCTACTTTCCTGTAGTTGTCTGTATACCATATATTAAAAAATGTATTAAAAATCCTTTGTAAAAGGTATATGTTAAGTAACCCAAACGGGCTAAGTTAAACATACAAAACGTTTTCGGAATCCATATTCCATCATCAGTGTCTAAGAGTACATGAATGTAGCCACTAAATAAATGGGTAAAAACCCATTAACAAATAATTGGTTACATTTGGTTTACAAAACTTCTTATGATGACTTAAGATGTTAAAGTTACCGTTGGATTAGGTAACATGGCGACATATGACTCCACGTTGAAGTTGCTAGTCTTGAGACGGTGTGTCTACGAAGACTGTACGAGTTGCTCCCATACATATAGGTTCTATACATATGGGTTTTTACCCATATATTTAGTGGCTACATTCATGTACCCTTAGACACTGATAATGGAATATGGATTCCTAAAACGTTTTGTATGTTTTACTTAGCCTGTTTGGGTTCTTAATATATACCTTTTACAAAGGATTTTTAATAAATCCAGAAATAATATTTTGTTCTTTTGCAATTTTTCGTATACTATTATGAGCGTGCCCAGTAACGGCAAGTAAAACGTTAATTTGGTTTCATCTTTTTTAACTGTTTTTGGTGTGTCATATAACACTAAGACTTTGCGATAGACTCTATCCATACAATTTTAAAGTGCTCTCTTATTAGATTGCCGACAATCTGGATATCGTTTATGATAGACTCTGTCTGTAGGTAAATAGTTTTTGTTACATTTACATAATATGTAAATAATTGTGTAGTTTGTTAATTTCCACTTTTCTTTTGTTTACTCCTTCTTATTTACTATTACTCTTCTGACTTTATTAGACGTTTTGATTTTTATTTAGCAAATCGTTTTCAAAATACAAAATAGTTACGGTATTCTGAGAACGATTTCCGAAGTGAAAATCGAAGCGCAAAATAAACTTCATTTTAAGTTAACATTGTTGCTTCTTTCCCAAAAAATAATAAATTGCATAAGATGCTACAAGAAAATATCTTCAGAAATTATTTCTCTTAATTATCCGTTTAGTTTTTTCTACTGTGTAGTTTCTTATGCCTTTCCTTCTTGCCTTTGTGATCATCTATTTTATTTAGTTTTTTTTGGATTATATTTTTATTCTCTTTCATCTGTTTTCTTAGTTGTCTAAGGGTTTCGTAGACTGACTTAATTTTTCATCATTTTTGTTTGTCGGGCAGTATTTAGTTTGAATCTGTTGTAATATCTTGGCTATTATTTTATAATTTTATACAATAAAAGATTTTTTGATATAAAAATCTGTGTACAATAATTGTAAAATTTATAACTGTTACGTCAATATACTACAGAAATACAATTAAAAATTCGTTCAACATTAGAACTAGAAATTATTTAAGAACAAGTCACAAATTTTCCCTTGCAGCTGTCTTAGACAAAATAAAAAATTTTAATCTACCGTTTGAATTGAAAACTTAAAATATGCTAGTGTTCGCAGAAATAAGAGTCCCAAATAAAATGGCCGATCTGTGTATTCAAATACTTACATTAAGCCAATCAGCAGCGCCTTGTGTCCAGCTTTCGTCAGCCCATGTTTTTACTTCAGCATCTGCGTCATAACCCATTCCATCTTTGTCGTCTGTTTTGTCTGTAACGTAAAATGATGAGTATTGGTTTAATCCCAAGAAGTCGATTGTTCCTCTGATGGTATTTTTTTCTTCAGTTGTGAACTCAGGAAGACGAGAATTTGGGAAACCTTGACTCTTGCTACGTCGAGCGACTGAAGACTTGACCACATCTGGATAATCTCCGTAAAATATTGGGTTTGCATATATACCATACTAAAAATACATAATTTAATTATTTTGTTATAATTTAATTAGTAATTAATATACAGCGATCATTTATACTTTTTCATTGATATTTAGCCCTTAATGTACAGCGTATTTCAAAATTATGGAATAAATTCATTATTTCAGAAACAGACCATTTTTAAAAAATCTTAAAACACCTCATATATTAATATATATATATATATATATATATATATATATATATATATATATATATATATATATATATATAGAAAAGAAATTTAATCTTTGCAGATAAGTTAAATAGTAAACTCTTAAATATTGGGGAAATCTGCAAAAAAAACTCTAATGTGTATCAATTATTTCACCTAACGTTTTCGCCAAAGAGAATTTGGCTTCTTCAGGGCTGAAAGAGAATAAATTATAATTAGCTACCATATATTATCTAATAAAAAACATTTACCTTACCGTGAAATTTAAGAAATGTCAAATTATGATGTTAAAAAACTTTAGCTAGTAACAACATAGTGGTGTTTTTTTTGTTACTATGTGCAAAAAAGTTTATTTGTTAACGTTGGAAATGTATGGTAGCTTTGAACTTAAAACGCAAAGGTTTACCCAAGGACAATCGAAAAGCCCAATGTAACTACATTTAAAGGAAGTAATTCTTTGAATTGTCGGCAATACCTAAATTTTTAATTGTTGTAAAGTTTGAATGTGAGCTTCTGTTTTATAGAACGCAAGCGCCGAAAACAATTACAAGTAGTTCTTTTGATATCATTGTCGTTAAGGTTCATTGGTAAAACCGATGAAGTTAGATCCCAGTCTGGGGAGATATTAGTATAGAATTTTCTTAATTGAAATTCTTTGTTTTAATTAGTATATTGTTCATGTATTATTGTAATAATATCTTATTGAGATGAATCTAAGAAAAGCAAGGGAATGTTATCTTTTTTTGTTAATGAAAATTATTATTAAAGTAGGTTAGTTGTTAATAGATATATCAGTCAAGTTGGTTATCTGTGATGTTGTATTGTTCTTGGTATCTGATTTAAGTAAGAAGTGGTATATATCGCTTAGATTCTTAATGTCACTCTTAACATTGATGGAAAAATCGTTAAGGAAAATATAAGACATTTCAATGAACTCTCTTTTAGATTTATTGTTCTCACGGTGGAGAATTGTAGTGTTCGTATAGTCCATGTGATGACCAGTGGAATGGACATGTTTGGCTAATGCACAGCGGTCAGGGTGAAGTCGAGAATCACTTTTGTGTAGTGTAATACGTGATTTCAATAATTGAGATGTTTGGCCGATGTAGGAATTGTTGCAAGAGAGGCATGGAATGTTGTAGACAATATTACTAAGCCTATCTATGGTAGTCTTATCTTTTACCTTCGAATAAAGATTATTAATTGTTAGGGCTGATCTACAAGCCACATTAAGTTTTATGTTATTATTATTATTAGAAAAGCTATTTTCAAAACTTTTTAGAATCCTTGTTAACCCCGGAGTGATATCTCTGAAATAGGGTAATGAAAAATATTTATTGATACGAGTATCCGAGACTCTGGACTATGTCCATTCCACTGGTCATCACATGGACTATACGAACAATACAATTCTCCACCGTGAGAACAATAAATCTAAAAGAGAGTTCATTGAAATGTCTTATATTTTCCTTAACGATTTTTCCATCAATGTTAAGAGTGACATTAAGAATCTAAGCGATATATACCACTTCTTACTTAAATCAGATACCAAGAACAATACAACATCACAGATAACCAACTTGACTGATATATCTATTAACAACTAACCTACTTTAATAATAATTTTCATTAACAAAAAAAGATAACATTCCCTTGCTTTTCTTAGATACATCTCAATAAGATAATATTACAATAATACATGAACAATATACTAATTAAAACAAAGAATTTCAATTAAGAAAATTCTAAACTAATATCTCCCCAGACTGGGATCTAACTTCATCGGTTTTACCAATGAACCTTAACGACAATGATATCAAAAGAACTACTTGTAATTGTTTCGGCGCTTGCGTTCTATAAAACAGAAGCTCACATTCAAACTTTACAACAATTAAAAATTTAGTTATTGCCGACAATTCAAAGAATTACTTCCTTTAAATGTAGTTACATTGGGCTTTTCGATTGTCCTTGGGTAAACCTTTACGTTTTAAGTTCAAAGCTACCATATATTTCCAACGTTAACAAATAAACTTTTTTGCACCTAGTAACAAAAAAAACACCACTATGTTGTTACTAGCTAAAGTTTTTTAACATCATAACTTGACATTTCTAAAATTTCACGGTAAGGTAAATGTTTTTTATTAGATAATATATGGTAGCTAATTATAATTTATTCTCTTTCAGCCCTGAAGAAGCCAAATTCTCTTTGGCGAAAACGTTAGGTGAAATAATTGATACACATTAGAGTTTTTTTGCAGATTTCCCCAATATTTAAGAGTTTACTATATATATATATATATATATATATATAATATATATATATATATATATATATATATATATATATATATAGTTGTGAGTTTCTTGGACCGTATTATATTTAATATATAGGTAATTAGTTTAGGTTCAATAAAGATATATTATATTTGGAACTAGATTTTATTTTCCATAACAATCAACGTTTCCGTAACAACCTATTAAATAAATATTTCACAAAACTAAAAACATAAACTCCAAAACTTAAAAAATCACATGTTGTTTACGAGATACTATGTATTAACTATGAAGGTGTCTATATAGGTCAAACCAGTCAACTGCTTCAATCCAGATTTCGTTCGCACAAATATGACAAGAACAACGTCACTGAGCTTATAAAACATGAAAGTGAGAAGAAGCATAAATTTGATTTTGAAAACATAAAAATTTTAAAAACAGAACAAAATAAAAAGAAGAGAGAGATATACGAATCAAAAGAAATAAAAAGAAATATCAACGACAAAAAAGATACACAAAACCTTAATAAAATATATTTTAATCTAATTTAAATAATAATAATAAACATCATAAAAACCTCTTAAAGTCATAACATATATCCACTTTACCTTTTTCGAAAACATCAATGATACGCCCATATAAAAATAATTATATACTAATGACAGTAAACCATGAGATATCAGATATCAACTTTTATTTGTCAGTTCGTTAATGTCTGTGTCACGTTTTACGTTTTGGTAAGTCATATATATATGAACTTTGAAAATAAGGCTATTATCGAGCACAAGTTAATTAAATCAAGCCCAAGTACTTTCGCTTAAAAAAGCATCTTCAGGGGCATTTCGTCAAAATAAGAACTATCCGGCAAGCGTAGGATGTGGAAACATTAAAACTAACATAAATTATACAAAACACTACACTAAAACGAGGACAAACAGTTTAAAATTACTTCTACGCTACATTCTCTGTCAGTTTCTGGAGGGATAATGATCTAAGCGGAAATCATATATATATACATATATATATATATATATATATATATATATATATATATATATACATATTTTACAATATCTGTTTGTCCTTATACATATACATTTTAGAATCTTGACAAAGGCAAGGGTTTCCTGCCGAACCGTTGATTGTTATGGAGAATAAAATCTAGTTCCACATATAATATATCTTTATTTAACCTAAACCCAAGAAACACTAATTTTATATTATATATATATATATATATATATATATATATATATATATATATATATATATATATATACATTACATAGCTACAAAAGTGTATTATTGGCAGATACCTTTATTTAACAAGTACTAAGAATAATTTCTGGTGCAGACATAGAATTATTTAGTGAAATTGTAAGCATTTTATTGCCTTTCGATGAGGCCACAAAAATCTCAGCTTCCTAGTATGTCACTGCTAGCTTTAAATTCCCCCTTTTGTCCTTTATCAAGAGGTAATTAAATTACCTCTTCACAAAACACATTCAGATACGTCAGGTAGTTCCTTGCCGAAATTGGAAAACTTTTTTTCTTCCTACTGTTTCCAGACTGAGGAGGCCAAAGTGGGTTCAAAATCAAATCCTCTCTAGTCTACACACGACCTGTAGTTCGTAAAAAGTGGTTCCAGTTCAGATTTGCTGGAAAAACAAACTGTCTTTACCTTCAACAGCATTTGCTGCCGAGTGAGCCATTTGTATTCTGGTAACAGAGCAGAACGTATATGCCATATTTGGTTTTTATAGCCGAAAAATAGCTGTACATAATACAAAAAAGTACTGGCCAACATTCATAATACCAACTTTAATTTCATATAATGCAAACTATTTTTTTACTTTTTTTTTCTTAAACTATCACTTTTACTTATCATATTATATTGACGCCAAATTATATTTAATTGTAAATAAATGTAATCAATAAAATAAAACTGTATCGCATGCATTCCATCTCTGTTATTTATCTATCTTACTGCTGTTTTCTTGTTTATAATGCAACTTTTAGCCCCATATATCATAATACTTCGCAATAATGTTTTATTAATCTGTGTTTTTGTCTTCATATTTAGTTGTCTATCCCACCATACTGAGTTAAGTTGTCGGTTTGCTGTTCTTCCTAATCTTTGCGTAATTTCTTCCTCTGCTGTTGCCTTTTTCGTGATTATAAACCCCAAGTATTTGAATTTATCCTTTCCTTTGTTTGTTACGTTGTCATCAATCTGTAGATCTTCTATGTCTTCTTCTCTTGTAGATAGATACTCTGTTTTTGCGAGGTTAATATCTAGGGCAGCTTTGTTATATTCTTCTTGCAGTTTCTTTATCCTGTAGCTAAGGTCGTCTTGATCTTTTGCAATCAATACTTATCGTCTGCAAAGCTTAACGTATATAGGTATTCGTTCCGTACCGGTACTCCCATGCCTTCGCATCTTCTTTTTCATGTAGTCAAGGCTTTCTCTAAGTATATTTTGAATAGGGTTGGAGATGTGAAACAACCCTGTAAGAGCCCTTTTGTTGTGGTGAAGTCTCTTATGATTCTTGTTCCCACTTTATTGGACACTTTATTTTCTTTATACAGTGCTTTTGTAGCTTCTATGAGTTCCGTCAGTATTTCTAATTTATATGTTCCTATATATGATATCTATAATCTTCCTATTGATGATATAACGCTTATTCCTCTGTAGTTTTTGCATCATTTTCTTCTTTCTTAAATATAGATGTCATATATGCTGGAGCTATTCTCCATTTATGGCTTTCTAAAATATCCATTGTATCATCCGGTGTATTTTTTTGCCGTATTTTATAAGCTTAGGTGAGATGCCTCCAGGTCCCAGTGCTTTCTTATGTTTGATTGCTTTTATGACTGTTCTTATTTCTCTATCTGTTATTTCTATTTCTTATTGTAGGAATCTGCTTCGTCTTCGCCGGTTTTCTTTTCCAATGAATTGTGGTCTTTGTTATGTTAACAGTTCTATGTAATAGTCCTTTCATCCTTGGTCCTCTCTTTTTTTCAATTTAATTTTTTCTTTTGAGTTCTGTTTCAATCCTACTAGTATTTTGTATGACTCCGAAGTTCTTAAAACATATTACATACATAGGAGATACCTACAAGAACTTCAATTAATTATCTTGGTATCTTGGTAAATATTGCAAATTTTTGCGCAATGTAAATGTAACATTGTAACCTATTGGGTATTGGTTATTGAATAAAAAAACAACAAATGTTAAACCGTAAGTAAAAAAAAATCGGTATAACCGAAACCTGGTGTTTTGTCAACAGCCGTCATCCCTAATTTTAACCGAAATAGTGTAGCAGTTTATTAATATTTTCAGTGTAATTTTTGTAATTATTCAGACCGTACAGTTTTTTGATCATTTATATTTCATTTCCTAACCGACATCCTAAATCCTATGGTATTTACTTAATATTTAATATTTGAAGTTCTAGAAACACTTTTTTCTAAGTATTTATATCATGCATTTTTCCTTCGCTAGTTTTTTTCTTTCCATACATTTGATATATTTTAACCAAAATCCCTTGGCTGTTCTTTAAATTGTCAGTGTTAATCACTTTTATCTGAAATACATTTGTTTCTTCATTAGTTTTTTTATATACTTGGTATACATCATACGCAAGGATAAATTATTATTATTTATACTTACAGTAAATTGTAACAAACGTTCAGAAGCGTCACTATCTGTTGTTGCGTTATAGGGTTCCCACCAAGCTGAATCAATGACAATACCGACTTTTCCTAAAAGTTAAGATTAAGTTATATAAAGATATTACACTTAATATATAACTGCTACATTTAATAGAAACTAAACAAAACATAAATAAAAAATATTGCATATGTATTTGTGACTTTCCGATTTCCACTTCGAAAATAGTTATCTTTTAGAGATACCTCAAAAAAAATCTTTTAATAGTTTAATTGTATCACACATACTCTTAATCTTCTAAAGCTCTGGAGGGATTAGGAAATGCCGAAAGGTCTTAATCCCAATGAAAGAAAAATCCAAATCTGCAACCTCCACGTGGTAGAAGATGGGCAACATCTATCTATAGATGGCCAATGCAGATAGGGACCGAGTGATTGCCGGTATAAGCAATCTCTCACTTACTGACCAACGGCTACGGGCGGATGAGTTGGTAAGTGATAGGGCACTCTTTTGTCCTGGAGTTGAGAAATCGACTACAAAGGCGGATGAACCAAAGAAGTGGTCAACGGCAGAAGGATGTAGAAGGCAACGAGAAACCACTACATTAAAGATCTTTAAATAGATATCTCTTGTCAATTATCATGGCTATTATAAATGACAATTTCATAACTACTGATCATGGACATCGGATACCAAGATCCGGCAGTGGAGGCAATTCTCAGTTAGACCGCGGGACCTTCCAGATCGCCAACATGCAAAAACCACGCGTCAGGCACAAAAATATAAACGGATGTGAAGTCTATATAAAGCAAAGAAGATCCACAATGTAATACATTGATGAGGCGATGAGATGAGGCGACTTAAAGTTATTATAATGAGACTAAGCGAGACCAGGTGGCCTAGATCTGGCGAAATCGAAGTCGACGGTGCCAAAATATACTACTCAGGAAATAAAGATATTCACCAGTATAATGGCATCGCGATAGTGGTTGATCGCAGTTTTTGCCAAGCTGTAACTTGTTTTGTTCCTATATCGGATAGAGTGTTAATGATCACAGTCCAAACAGCGCATAGAACTCTTAATATCATACAGGTGTACGCCCCCACTGCAGATAAAGATAAAAATGAAATAGAATAGTTTTACAATGACATTAAAAAAGCACTATACAGTATCCATAATAGAGATACAACAATAATAATGGAGGATTTTAATGCCAAATTAGGAAAAGGTAAAATCCAAAATATCATTGGTGAATTCGGACTAGGAACGAAAGAGGGGAAAGATTGACTAAATTCTGTCAAGAGTTTGAAATGATAGCGACAAATACAATTTTTCAGTTACCACCACGTAGATTATATACATAGAAATCACCTATGGATAGCAAAGAAACAATTATCAGAAACCAGATAGTATATATCCTTATCAATCAGAGATACCGTAACTCCATCAAGTCGGCAAAGACATATCCAGGAACAGATGTGTCATCAGACCACAATCCAGTAATCGTAAGATTCGAAATCCACTTAAATAAAATAAAAAATCAACAAAAGAGGCAACAAATAAGCACTCTGCTAAAACACCCGAATAAAAAGGAGAACTAACGTTAAACATTAACGAGAAGTTAAGCAAAACAATAATCAATGATAATGAAGATTCCAACGGAAAATGGAAAACATTTAAGAACACATTAATGATGCTAATTAAAGATACGCTGAATAGTCAACAAATCGATGAAACTAAGACTCCATGGATGACAGATGAGATCCGGCAATTAATGGACAAAAGAAGATCATACAAAAACAAAAATGTAAACGAATACAAAGCCACACACAAGAAGATCAGGAATAAAAATATGGGCAGCTAAAGAAAAGTGGTCCAAAGACAAATGTTTAGTAGAGAGAAGAACTCCAGAGAAATCATGATAGTTTTGAATTGCACAAAAAGAATTAAAAATTAGCAGGTGTAAGACGGTCCAACAATATTAACACCCTGGTTGATATGAATGGTAAAATAATATCTGATATCAAAGGCAAAGTAAACAGATGGAGATAATACGTCCAAGAATTGTTTGAGGACGACAGGACACAACAAGATAGCATGAACGATTGCGAGGAATATGATATAGGTCCGAATATAACTAAGAATGAAATAATACATGCAATAAAGCTGGAAAAATCTAATAAAACTCCGGAGCCTGACACAATTTCAACTGAAATAATTAAATTATAAACCCCTCTGTGGCTCAGTGGTAAGAGCGCCTACCTTTGAACCTAAATTATTAAAAATTAATGAATGAAAATAATTTCTACCCTTGTGCGATCGGTACTCACCGGAGGGACCGGCAAACTATGAAAAGGAGGATAGGCAACCTATGTTACTGACCTGTGTATTGCAGAGGATGACCTGTGTATTGCCTAATACACAGGTCATCCTCTTAAACATGACTTTAACACCATCGGTGATTTCACATCGATTAGAACCCAAATTTTAAATCCCAACACCTAGATTGCTGTTATTATTTTTTAAAATCATCAAAAAAATTTTTGAATCTTTTGGCTGTAGTAATACTAGGTATAACTAATATAGTTCCATGTTACATTGACATTTTGTTTTTGACACCGTTTATAGGTATATTCTAAATCAGTTTCCAGCTGTTCTCCGTGCGTAGAGGTTTACTTCCCGGCTCTGGAACTCAATTCAACAATGTATGTTACCTGAAGTCATATTTAATTTAATACTGTTTTTTAACAACAAGATGTATAATCTTTTATAACTATAATATGTATTTTAAAGGATTTTTACCCATGTATTTTGGTGGCTCAGGCATTTTAACCTAGTAAGTATAGCAATTTTTGCTTTTTAACCATAGTCAAAATTTCATAACCACGTTTGTTTTAACTAAATGGTTTATACTTATTTTAGGCGATTTTAAACCTGATGATGGACTGTTTAGTCCGAAAACGTTTGTTTTTTTTGATGTAGCCCTTTTAAGGGTTTTTTAAATAAATATACCCACTTACGTAGACTAACCTCTTTTTTGTGATACGTGGTATACAGCCAGCTACAGGAATTGTTTTCCTTGTGGATTTTAAACAAAAATTTCTCCACCCAGATGAGATTCGCACTCACGACCTTTAGGTTTAAAGGTAGACGCTCTTACCACTGAGCCACAGAGGGGGTTGTGTACATCTTTTAAACATAGGAAATATAACGAAATATGACTTTGAAATTTATTAAAGGTCTGCTTGCCATTATGTTAAATTCTGTACTGAATTTAGTACTCAAAAGATTGTATCTACTAATTAGATGATCGCGCCGATTTTATTAGTAATAAAAATTAGACCATGTTCTTATTTTTTGTACCTAATAAAAATGGTAAACTATTACTTATATATTAAGTGAGGTTATTTTTAACTGGTCGTAACAATTTTTTAAACAAATTATTATTCATTCGTAAAAAGTTTTTATATGCCAAAGGGTTCTGTACCAATAATTTTTCATTCAACATGTTACGTCCCTCCACACATATTCTTATTTTTATTAATATTTTTTTCATTATTTTATTTTTATATTTAATTCTTTAATTAAAGTGTGTGTATGTCTTATAATCGTAAATTAATAAGGCTCTGTACAGTCCACCCCCCTAATAGACTTAAGAGAAAGCTACCATAGTACACGCACCTCAACTTCAGTCAATCTTGTATAAATCAGTCAAACGAGTCAGAACGAGTGTCTTTTATAGAATACATTTGTACACAACATTATATAATATTCCTTTGTATACGTTTTTTTTTAAGGATTGTATGTTTTTTCTTTTCTTAAGTTTTATTTCTACAATTAAAGCTTCCTAAGTCATAAAACTTCAGGGATTAGCGACCCTGCCCACGCTAGCTCATGATATTCCACCATCTCACACCGTGGAATCTCATGTCCCAGAACCTTTATCCTACACCCTCCATATTTATCCCTCCTAGTCCTCAACCCTGGTGAAGGGCAACAGCGATCACCAGTACCAACGCAAGGCGCAAAAGAAATTATCTTGGACCGGCTTGTTATTGGAATTCCACAGGCATGACTAGGGCAGTTTGAATGGCTGTGGTACTGCGGTGTTGAAAGTAACCGGATACTACAACACTACCTTTTCCCCAGGATAACTCATCTCATTATGGCAAAACAAAACAAAACTCAGATGGCCCTCAGTCCCGGGCAGGCCTTAGATGGTCAGAGGGTGCGAAGAATCTCCCGGTGCCAAATAGATGATATCCAACGAATTTCAACATGGAATGTTAATAGTCTTTACGAACCAGGAAAACTACACAACCTTATAAAGGAAATGAATCGGCTGAAAATAAATATAATGGGAGTCAGTGAAGTCCGATGGTCTGGATCTGGACAGTTTACGAAAGATAAGATTACTATGCATTACTCGTGTAGTGACCCAACAGATAGACATCACCGACATGGGGTGGCTATTGCTCTTGACAGGAAGACCAGTAAATCGGTGACAGATTTTGTTCCAATTTCCGAACGAGTCATGTTGATCAAAATGACAGGCAAACCAGTAAACATAAATGTGACACAAGCATATGCACCAACAGCAGATAAGTCAGAAGAAGAAATAACTAAGTTCTATAAAGATCTGAAAAAAACAATAAGACTAACAAAGAAAGAGGACATAAACATAATAATGGGCGACTTTACGCCAAGGTGGGTAAAGGAAGATATGAAGACATAATTGGAGAGTACGGCCTTGGAGTTAGAAATGAAAGAGGCGACCTGCTGTGTGAATTCTGCCAGGAGAACGGTTTTTGTTGTCATGAACACATGGTTTCAGCTCCCACCTCGTAAGTTATATACTTGGAGATCACCAGGAGACCGTCCAAATCGAATAATTAGAAACCAAATTGACTACGTTTTAATAAACAGAAGATTTCGTAACGCTATCAAAAGAATCGCAGCATATCCAGGTGCTGATATTGCATCCGATCATAATCCGCTAATAGCAGATGTGAGGTTAAAACTAGCAAAAATTAAGAGAACAAATACAAATACCAGCACACCTATAAATACAAGAGAAACTGATGAGAGACGAAAATCTGAAGAAGAGTTATGCGAATCAAATTAATGAAAGAATGCGAGTAATAGAACAAAATTATGATATCGAAGACATGGTCAATGATATTAAAGGAACGATTCTGGCAGTAAACAGGGAAGTTAAAACACAGATCAGAAAGATAAAGCATAATGTATGGATGACGGACGAAATTATGAATCTAATGGAAAAGCGAAGGCAACACAAACAACAACGTAATCAAGACAAATACAAACAGATACACAAAGAAATCCGTCAGAAAATTAAGAAAGCAAAGTACGTTGGATGGTGAAAAGGTGCAACGAAATAGAACAATTGCAGGAAAAAGGAGATAGTTTTGGACTACATAAGAAGTTCAAAGAAATATCGAATATACACAAAAGCCACCACAGAACAAGAATACGCAACGACTGAAACGAATACATAGAGTCAGAAGAAGAGATAGCAATGGCGTGGAAAGAATACGCAGAAAGCCTTTTTAATGACGAAAGACCAACACAACCAACGCTCAAACTTCCTTCCGAAAACTTATCAGGGCCATCAATAATGCGAATTGAAATAGAATATGCAGTTAGAACCACAAAAATGCATAAAGCAACAGGGCCAGATGAAATTAATATAGAAGCAATAAAACTACTAGACGAGGAGAATATCGAAATCTTGGTAAGGCTGTTCAATAGACTTTATGATACTGGTTACATTCCGCGAGAATGGCTGCAGTCATCCTTTGTGATGATCCCAAAAACAGCTAATGCCACAAAATGTCACTTGAGTCACTTGTTGAAACTCTTCCTTAGGATATTACACTCAAGAATGTATAAGATACTGGATAAGCTGGGTCGACAGAGTTAGAAATGAGGAGGTCCTTAGACGGCTGAACCAAACAACACAACTGGTCAATATAATAAAGAAACGCAAGCTGGAATACTTCGGTCATATTATGAGACACCCTGAAAAATATGATCTTTTACATCTGATCATTCAGGGAAAGATCCAAGGTAATCGTGGTCCTGGTAGAAGAAGAACATCATGGCTGAAAAATCTAAGGCAATGGTATGGAAAATCAACTACATCGTTATTTAGAGCTGCTGTCAATAAACTCACGATAGCGAATATGGTAGCCAACATGATATCCAACGATCGATAGCGGTCATGGAACTAGAAGAAGAAGAAGGAACAAGAGAGGCAATTTTATGTTTGAACACCTTAATACAAAACTGCTTAGATCAACGAAAACATGTCTACCTCACCGTCATCGACTACGAGAAGGCATTTGATAATGTTAAACATGATATCATGATGGAACTACTACATATGGCCAACATTGACCAGAAGGAGATCAGAATTATTCAGAATCTATACTGGAACCAAATGGCAAAGGTGAGGATTGATCAAGACCAATATACGGATGAATTTGAAATCCGGAAAGGTGTCCGCCAAGGCTGCATACTCTCTCCGATGCTTTTTAATTTATATGTTAAAAATATATTTGCGGAAGCATTAGTAGATACGGAATTAGGCATTAAGGTGAACGGCATACCAATTAGCAACCTACGCTATGCGGACGACACAGTGATTATAACTGATAATTTGGAAGATCAGCAGTTATTACTTGATAGGGTGAATAGCATAGGTAAAAAATATAGCCTCAAAATCAACATTTTGAAAACGAAATATATGGTCATTAGCAGAAACCCTCCAGAAAACCCGATATTATGCATAGGTGACAATCGTATAAATCGCGTGAAAACTTTTAAATACCTTGGCACCACAATCAATGACCAATCGGATCCACAACACGAGATAAAAACCCGAATACAAATGGCAAGACAAGCTTTTGTGAAATTCAGACCGCTCCTATGTAATCAACACCTAAACTTCGAAATACGCTACAGAATGGACAAGTGCTACATATGGTCCATCTTGCTTTATGGCATGGAAACGTGGACTTTGAAAAAAACATCTATCAACAAACTTAAAGCATTTGAAATGTGGTCATTGAGAAGAATGATGCGCATTACCTTGGGTGGATAGAGTTCGAAACGATGACGTCCTTAATAGAGCCGGCGTGGAAAGAGAACTCTTTGAATTAATTAAAAAACGCAAGATTGGTTACCTTGGGCACATATTGAGAGGAGCAAAATATGAAATACCACAGTTAATCCTACAAGGGAAGATCGAAGGTGGGAGAAGAGCCGGCCGCAAACAATTGTCCTGGTTAAGAAATATTAAAGAATGGACAGGAATACACAATACAGGTAAGCTGTGTCACGCCGCCAAGAACAGAATTCTAGTAATGAGATAGTCGCCTACGCACTTTGGTGTATGGCATGTTAAGAAGAACAAGTCATAAAACAAACTTCATTGTTCGGTTATCAATACAGAATTGGTAGAGCGCATACCTACATGCTAATTAAAATTCGGATAGTTGCAAACACAAACCCACCTCTTTAATACTAAATCGACTGGCGAAACTAACTAATATTTTTAGTGCCTACTGAAATCAGTAATAAAATTAGCTCAATGGCTAGCGAACCTTAAAGTATATTTTGAGAAATTGTAACATTTCCGAAGTGGAAACTGAAACATTAAATTAAACGTATTTTTAACAAAAATTGTGGCTATTTCCCTTTAAAGGTAGTAAATATTATATTAGTAAAATCTTTACCATTCTGTTTAAACCTAAACTCCTTATCGTATATGTGATATGCTGCAGCATGCGCCCTTAGAACATTATGGATGCACATATATTCTCCAATACCAGGAGATTTGGTAGAGGGCGCATAAACTCCCGTTCCGTAGCCATTTGTACAGGTTTGTTTTGGTTCATTAAAGGTCATCCAATGTTTTACATCGTCCCCAAAAAGTTCGAAACACAGCTTTGCATACTCTGAGTACCATGATACAATCTCTGGATTTGGCCAGCCACCAAGTTCTTCCAAAAACTGTGGTAAATCCCAATGAAAGAGAGTGACATATGGTTCGATGTTAGCAGCTTTTAAAGCTTTTATTAAATTCTTGTAATAGTCTACGCCTGCCTGGTTCACCTCAAGGTTTAAACCTGTTAAAAAAATAAAATAAAAAGTTTATTTAGAGAAAAACAGTAAGGTAAGAATAATTACTTTTAAAATATTTTGTGTTTTTATAACTATAACGTATTTGTTTAAAAATTATAACACAGCACACATTGTAAACTTAAGTAAGGGTATTCAAAATATGATTAATAAAATCTAATATCGATTTCTCACAATGGCGACATCGTTTTTCAAGATCTCACCCACTTTGTGACGAAGTAAAAAAAATACTAGATTCCCCAATAGATAAGGTGCGAAAATAATGGACCAATACCAAAGCAAGCAAAATATACAGAGGATACTGAGAATAATAAATTATGAAAAGTATTGTTGCAGTAAATAATGTATTTTGTTTTTATTTTAAATTACAGATTGTAAACAGGGTACATATAATAAAAAATACTACTTTATTTTTTTAACCCTGCATCACTCGCAGTATGAGCATTTCTCTCACGCCTCAATTAAATATGCACATTATAAAACGGTAAATTATTTGCACTCTTCGCTACACGTCTAGCTAACTTTAAAAGTGTCTTGACCGATAAGCTTAATCTTGTTCAATGTTTAGTGTAGACTGGTAATAGATATAGTATACTTGTTAGTCGTCTGCAGACCCGTGTGAGATAGATAAATAAATATTAAATAAGAATTACTCAGAATTAATTTAATTTAACTATCCAGACGACCGGTTTCGCTTTCTACAATATGGAAAGCATCTTCAGATCTCAAAACAAAGTTAAATAAATGCTGAAATAATATTAGGGTCAATTATAATTACTCATATTAGGGTCTTGTCTAATAAAGATATATAGATAATAAACAAAGATAGATGATATAAATTACAGTAATTATGCCAATATTCCATGTCTGTGGTTTTTCAAAATAAATAAAAAGTTTTAGCAGACAAGGTAAGACCCACAAATTTGGTATAAAATAGTCTATTAAATTGTAATAAATTAATAAACCAACAAATAAATAAAATATTACTTACATGCCGATACTCTAATAACTGATGGTTGGAAGAACATGGTTCAAACTATCCTGTATTGTTGAATGGAGAACTTAAGTCAGCTATTGTAATTGTTTGACAATAAACGGAAAGTTCTTGAGGAGATGGATTTTATACAATGAAGTAGAGATAGGTGTAATGTGATTGTTGGTTAGATGAAAGTGATGTTCTATACTATTGAATTATTTAAAAGTTATTTATATTTATTCAAGAGATATATTTACAAAATGTGTGTTATTTATTTAGATTTTTATTTTATGAAGGTGACAGTTGTATGACAATGAATGAGATTAGATGTACAAATTGTGTGGGTGTGCAATTCTTTCAACTTGTAATTATCAAATTTCTTTAGTAAAGTTCTATAGATTCAGTAAATTAGTACTGTAAAGTGATACTAGTAGGAAAGTTTTGGGGAAGTTCTGATTTTTTCATTCCATATGTGTTTGGGGGTGCTAAATCTGAATCTGAGGTTTGCGAACAAAATTTCGTGACGCAACATTTAAAAAACCAGAAGAAATCTGTTTTTTTTTGCTTTTTTCCGGTTTTTTGCTTAAAACTCGAAATCTGTTAACTTTTAATAAATGGTCTGTTTACAGTAATTAAAGTACTGTACAAATGTCACTATTTTGGTTATTGTACAGACGAACCGTTTGGTCTCAAGTGCAAGTTGAAAATTGGCAATTGGTACCGGTGTGACTGCAAAACCAACTTTTTAGATTTGTATTAACGATACAAAATATGTCATCGACGGGGGTTTTTTGTTACACCGGGTAAAATGGCGCTAAGGTCAGATATATGCAGACATATGCAGCAGTTATGTATCATATGTCAAATTAAATTACAAATCAAGAGCTATTGTCGTTTTTAATGGCTACCCTGACGAGGCTTGTGGTAGCATCAAGCGTTTAGAACGATTGAAAAGTGCACAAAGAAAACAATCTGCCGCAATATCATTTACAGAAATGATGGTGCCCACTGTGTCGCACGGTAGTTTTCTTGCAAACCCAAAAAACAAGAGCCGGTTTATATCTATGTTAATGGAGAAACTTCATGATGCAAAAATTCATTTAAAGCAAGCTGTGGAAGATGCTGATATCCTAATTATCACAACAGCTCTTGAGATGACCCCTTCAAATAAACATGTGAGAGTGGTGGAGGAAGATATCGACCTACTGGTCATTTTGATTGGCCTTTGAAGCCCTGATATACATAATGTATTTATTTTGAAGCCAAAAATATGAAAGGTTTTTTAATACGTATCTTCATCACTCAAAAATAAGACCAACATTTCCTCATTGCCCCCAACTGAAGCCGCTGCACGAGAACATTTACTGAGAGTTTACTATCAGGTGCAGCAGTGGTTATCCGGTCAAGCCACACCTAACGAGCAACAAAAAGACCCAAGTGAATGGAGATGGTAAAAAACTAGTAGTGGTTTTGTGCCAGCACCAACTACTTTGGACCCTGCACCAAACTCAATAGTCGGTACATTTCATGTAAATGTGAAAAGGGCTGTCAACGCAATTGTGGATGCAGGAAGGAGGGACTCCATTGTTCCCCAATATGTGCATCATGCGAAGGACTGTGTAACAATGTTGAGCCCCCAGAAGACAGCTTTTACATAGACGTAGAAAAAACTGAAGAAAAAGAGAGAGGTATGTTGGATCTGACAAGTTATTTTGTAGTTATTCATCTCTCCTTGATATATGATATGTGTCTGTCCTCTTTTTCTTTTCCAGGAGAACGACTCCCGACGCTGACGATGGAGCAATCAGACCCTAAGCCAGGACCCGATGCCATCGAAGAACCTCAGTACGATGCGGAAGGTATGAAGGTATGTTTTATACTTGTGCGGAAAACCAGGTGACATTTATCAAATGACAGCATCCATAAAAATTAAATATTGAAATGTAAAAAGTGGGTTTTGCATAAATTGCTAAAAATTTACAATTTTCAACTCGTACTAGAAGCCGAACGATTCGTCTGAAAAAAAAACTAAATACTGGTATTTGTAGAAAATTTCAAGTACTTTAATTTCTGTAAACAGACCCTTTACCAAAAGTTAATAGTTTTCGAGGTTTAAGCAAAAAAACCCGAAAAAAGAAGAAAAAAACGGTTTATTCTGTTTTTTTTTAATGTTGCGTCACGATAATTTTGTCCGCAAACCTCAGATTCGGATTAAGCACCCCAAAAAACATATGGAATGAAAAAATTAGAACTACCCCAAAACGTTTTCTAGCAAAAATACAATTTGACAAACTGAATTATATTGGCATAAATGGCAAATTATTGCAAAGTCAAGTATATAAAGTTATTAAAGTTAAAACAATTAAGGACAATTTGAAACACAGAGAAAACACTTTATTAAATTTAAAAAGGGGAAGGACTTGAATGCACTACATCTCAGACTTGGAGACAAAGAGTTTTTTATGTTATCTATTAGATTTTAGAGGTAAAGTTGACAAATGTAGGTTAAGGTGTGACAGTTTTTCTTCTATTTCTAAATACTGTAAATTAAGTTATCCAGTTTTATGAAATAAGCTGATATTAATGAATGTCTCTAATTTTTTTTTAAATTTATATATCAAAAGTAAGTTGATGTGTTTAATATTGGCATACTTTAACAATGATTAAATAATTAAATTTAAATGTAACAATATGAATAATTAAAATACATCTTTTATTATAACTAACTCAATTTAGTCAAAATTACAGAACAAACTTCAGTGATTATTTGGTAATTAAATATGTACATTTGTAATCAAAATGTATTCGCTTCGCGCGTGAACATGGTAGAAGTACATTGAAACGATGCCAGCGTGCGTAGCTGCGAAATATGGCAAAATTGGACCTATCTTTTTACGCATAAATTTTATCAAAAATGTGTGCAAATACATGTTGCGTATTTAATTGTGCTAATAATAGCAAAAATAGTGAGTGTAATTTTTATAGGTTCCCAAATATTACATATAAATTAGAGAAAAGAAAAAGATGGATTCGTGCTATTAATATGAAAAAGTAAATATCACATAATTTTATTTTTATGCAATTGAAATAGGAAAAATTTAAATAATTTACCTTGAATGATATTTCATAAGGCTTCAAGCTAACTGCAGATGACTTTAGTTTTTATATAATAACTTTAACTATTATTGTTTTTAATTATATACTCTTTTGCGTGAAAAACTTGATTTGCCAGAACTAGATTTTTCCCTTTCTTTTCCGTTTGGGGTTGAAAAGATATATTATGATGAATTTTGAAAAACCAATTTTTAATACTACATTTATTTTGTACAGAAACTGAAAAAATATAGTTAAGAAACTAATTATTAATAATTGTAAATTTCGCATGTATTTAACAATGTTAAGCATATGTCATAAGTTTAACCTGAAAATTGAAAGGTCCAAAACTGTCAGATGAAGGCGGTAGGTATCGCGTCAGTCACTCTCGGAGCGACTAACAAAATTACAAAATTTATTTGAAAATTATTTTGGTGTGAGTTATCTGTCATGGTGTGTATAAATATTTTTAAATATTTTATTCCAGTTTATTATTGAAAAGTATTTATACACACCATGACAGATAACTCACATCAACAATAATTTTCAAATAAAATTTGTAATTTTGAAATAACTCAATGGTATAGTATAATGGGATAATACATCACTTTCATTTAACAAATAATCACATAACAAGTATCTCTACTTTATTGGATAAAATCTATCTCCTCAAGAACTTTCCGTTTATTGTCAAATAATTACAATAGCAGACTTAAGTTCTCCATTCAACAATACAGGATAGTTTGAACCATGTTCTTCCAACCATCAATTAATAAAGTACCGGCATGTAAGTACTGTTTTATTTATTTGTTTATTTATTAATCTATTACAATTTAATAGACTATTTTATGCCAATTTGTGGGTCTGATAAAACTTTTTATTCATTTTGAAAAACCACAGACATGTAACATTGGCATAATTACTGTAATTTATATCATCTATCTTTGTTTTTCTTTATTAGACAACACCCTAATATGGGTTTATTATTTCAGCATTTATTTAACTTTGTTTTAAAAACTGAAAATGCTTTGCACATTGTAGAAAGCGAAACCGGTCGTCTGGATAGTTAAATTAAATTGATTGTGAGTAAGTCTTATTACTATTTCTTTACTTATTTGAAATGGACTCACACAAGCAACACGTTTCATGACCCGTGTGAGAGTTTATTTCATTGATAAAAATATTCAAAGAAAAGGGATGATGGCTAATATACTAGTAAAAGAAGTAATAAAAGGCATGAAGCACTTAGCTTCTTAGGCATGCCCACAAAAGAAGTTAGGGTTGGTAAGAATCAGTCTGAATAGCACATGTTACCAAGTAGTACGTAGTAGTAGTATGAAGGGGACTTTCATCAGATAAGTTTAAAGTTAATAGAGGTCTTAGCCAAGGAGGTGCGGTATTTACGGTACTTTTTAATTTGGTATTGGAAAAATTATTCAGAAAAATCCAAGTTAAAATGATCAGATCCATCTTTAACAATGAAAATCAATATCTGTCATGCTCTGATAATCTTGCTATTTTAACAAAAACAAGAAAATAATTAAAAAATGTTTTAAAAGGATTAGAAAGAAAAGCAGAATATTTTGATATACAAATTGACCAGAAAAGTCAAAGTACATCTACTTCTTCTTCTTCTTCCTTCTTTTATGTAGGCTTTAAAGCCTGTTTCTTATTTAATATTAGCCTCCTAAATTGTTTAAATTATCGCACCATCTTCTTCTTGGTCTGCCAAAACTTCGTCCATTTGGTGCTTTATCTCGTACTATTCATACTATGCTATTCTCTGCTATTGTGCTAATGTGTTCGTTCCACTCCTATTTCCGTTTTATTTCCCATCCATTTATGTCTTCTATATTGCATGCTCTTCTTATGGTTTCGCTTCTCTTCCTATCCAACAGACTTTTACCTGATATTCGTTGGAGTATTTTCATCTCTGTTGTTTCTAGTAGTCGTCTCGTTTTAGATGTGTCAGGTCTTGCTGGTTTATAGATTCTTGTTTTTGTGTCTTTTCTTAGGTGTTTGTTCTTCCAAATTTTGTCCATTAAGAGATCCTGCCGCTTTACTTTCTTTTTTGATTTATTTTCGTACTTCTTCTTCAACATCTCCGTAACTAGTTATATCTATACTCAGATATCTAAACCTTGATTCCTGCTTTATTATTTTCTTATTAATTTTGATTTTACATCGGAGTGGATATTTAGATATTGTCATACAATATCTATATATAGATATTGTATGACATAGAAATTGTAAATTGACATTGTATATTGTAAACATAGAAAAATTTATAATATAAATATATTGCTGTTAACTGTGACTTTATTCAGTTCATTAAGTTTCGTAATGCATTTAATACTAATAAGTTAACATATATAATATAAAAAATAACTTACCTAAAGGCAAGAGTCTTGGCCAGGAAATTGAGAATCGATAATGTGTAACTTTCAATTCCTTTAAAATCCTTATATCCTCTTCCCACTGATGGTAGGAATCGCAGGTAACATCACCACTGTCATTATGATAAATGAAATTTGGAATGGTGTGAGCTACTCTGTCCCAATTTCCTTCACCTTTGCCATCTTCATTCCAGGCACCTACAAAGAAATATTTTATTTTGTTGTGAAAGTGTATCTTACATAAGCAAACCAGATATAAAATTTCAAGACATACTTTTGTCAGAAGGCGAGGTTTATCATGTTTCTTATTTTTTATTATTTTGATATTCTTTATACAATAGATATATTATTATTTTAACCGATATATCGAGTTGCGAATCAAACAGTACTAAATACCATAAATAGAGCGAACTTATAACAACGATTAAGAAAAGAAAAACCTCGTACCTAGGTCACATAACGAGAGATAACAAATATAGACTGCTATAAATACTAAATTGAAGGGAAGATAGAAGGCCGAAGAGGAGTAGGTAGAAAAGCCATGTTAAGGCTTCGCAATATCAGAACTTAAACGGACATGAACTTTCAAAAATTACTAAGAGTAGGGCAGAATATAGAACATTTTGATGTAGTGATCGCAAACCTCCAGTAGTGGAGTGCACCAGACGAAGAACCGATATATGTATTGTATCAAAGAGTTGATTTTCCTTGTAAGATCTATTTAAGTAGTCGCCCATTATTTATGTGTCTTTAAAATACGCAAATTGTGTAGAACAGAAATCATATAAATATATCAAAGTATGTCAGAAATGTTTACATTTTGTGAACTGTCCGATATATTACATACTTAATATGTCTAGTGTAATCATTAATTTGTTGAAAGACCTTTTTACGGTTTATTTTTAAATTCCTGTTGGCGCAGATATTTTAGCTCCTGATGGTAACGGAGACCCTCGTACCTTAACATGGTGTATCTTGCACCACAGTCAATATCCAACTAGTGCCGCTAAGGACCGAGTAATTGTCGTAGGAAGGTAGCCATGCTACGTTCGCACGTAGCGTTTTCGAATTTACATGACCGTTTGCCGCCTTTGATAATTTTTTTGTTTTTATAAACACAACTAAAGATTTTTAAGTATAGATAAGTGTGGGTGGATTGTGCAATCAGCATCAATAATAATCAGGGGCAAATTGAGAACAGGTCTGTCTCTTGGTAAGTAGCAAGGGCAGAATATCTTAAGCCTTTAATAAAAGATTTGGTGTGAGTAGCCATTTTTGTTAATTTTTGTAAACTCTTGGGTAGCCAGCTTTAAAATCAAGCTGAATTTTGTACCTGGGACTGACTCAGGGTACAATAGGTTGCAGTGATTTTTGTTTGTTATAGATTGAACTTTATCATGCTATGAAACCAAACAAGTACTAAAAGTAAACCCAAACATGCTGGTAGAACGCAAAATGCAATTAAAGCTATATTGAAGACCCCGACAAAAGAATGATGTTTCGAGAGGCGAAAAAAGTATTTAAATTGAGCAGGTCTACAATAGCTAGGCACTTAAAGAAATACAAAAAAAGGGGAGCTGTTAAATTTTAATATTCTATAAACTATGCGATAAAACAAGTATTCAGCGATACTGAAGATCAAAGTTTTGTGACGTATATCCAAAATGTCGGTAAAATGTAATACAATCTGACAAAACAAGATTCAAAAATTTGGCTTTTAATTTCGCTAATGCTAATCAAAAAATACCAAAAAACATGCCTTAAGGAAAAATGGCTGGAGAAGAATAAATGTAAGCATTTTTTTAAAAGAGATTCTGACAAGATTTCGAAGGGACTATTTGTTTTTTTTTAAACATGAGTAAAGTTCATAAACGTTTTGGACCAATTCCTCGAAAGCGGATTTTTAACACTGACGAAACGGGAATGAGCACTGTCCATTTTTCCTTGAGTACATTACAAGGACAGCATGAATTTGGAGTGCCTCTCGGATATATTGGTGCTGCATCTGTAACTGCTTGGTCAACAAAGAAAACTTTTAAAATTTCTTAATTACTTTCTGACCTATGCTAGTTGCTCTAAGGAAAAAAGATGCTTACTTGTTCTGGACAATCATAAAACACGTCCTTCCTCCCCACAGCAGCCATATTCTTCAGCCGCTGTACCTTTCTATCTTCTCACCTCTTAAAATCTACTAAAATCAAAAGGTTGAAGCGTAGTTGATCAACAATACAGGGAAAATATTCGATAATTACACAATTTCTAAAACTCTTGAAACAGTAAACCCCGAGCAGTTACGTTCAGCATTATTACTTCTGTATTTCGTAAATATGGAATCTGTTTTAAGATGACAATTTCTTAGCTTCCTATGTCACTGATCGCTCTACAACCTCTTCCTTTCCATCTTTAGCAGACACCACATCAGAAGTAGGGTCAAGGAAAATAGTTAATTCTTTTACCTCTCCTATAGTGAACTGAGTACTGCTTCAGTAGTACTCACTACGCGTCTTTTTGTTTCAGTTGCGGGAACTTTTATACAAAGCATTCAGTTCCCGTTACTGCATCAGCTGCAACATGTAATACAACTTATTCTACCCAGTAAAATAAAGATCCTGAATTTCTATTAACTCGTACAGGAAAAAAAATATGTTAAAATATTTATAAAAACAACAAATAGAGGAAAAGTAACGAAGTATTTAACAGGAGCTCTCTTAAAATCATCAAGCCATAGCTACAAAAGCCAAAGATTAAAGAAAAGAAGGTCCGTCGGCAAGCAAAACTTGACTCATTTTCAGATACAGAAGACAATGAAGTATTATCAGTTAAATAGGTAAAGAAATAATAATAAGACTTACTCACAATCAATTTAATTTAACAATCAGACGACCGGTTTCGCTTTCTACAATTTGCAAAGCATCTTCAGGTCTAGATACAAAGTTAAACTAATGCTGCAATAAAATAAACCCAATTAGGGTGGTGTCTAATAAAGATAAAATAAACAAATAAGTTAGTTCATACAAATTATAGTAATTATGCCAATATTACATGTCTGTGGTTTTCAAAATGAATAAATTTGAATATATAAAAGGTATTAACAGACAAGGTAAGACCCACAATTGGTATAAAGTAGTAATATTATATTGTAATAAATTAATAAATGAGCAGATAAATAAAACAAAACAAACATTACTTACATGCCGGTACTCTATTAATTGATGGATGGTAGGTCATGGTTGCAAAAATCATGTATTGTTGATTGGAGAACTTTAATGTGCTATTGCAGTTGTTTTGACAATAAACGGGAAGTTCTTGAGGAGAACAGATTTGATCCAATGAATTAGAGATAGGTATATTGTAGTTGTTTGTCAAATGAAAGTGATGTTCTTTACTATTGTATTATTTAAATTATTTACACTTATATCAGAGATATATTTTTGGAATGTGTGTTATTTATTGAGTATTTATGTTATGAAGGAGACAGTTTTATGACAATGAATAAGAGTAGCTGTACCGATTGTGTGGTTGTGCAATTATTTTGACTTGTAATTATCAAGTCTATTGGCAAAATTAATCAAATATTGTTATTATTATACAATAATTGATTAATTTTGCCAATAGACTTGATAATTCATTGTCATAAAACTGTCTCTCTGGTCTTTCTCCTTCATAAAACATAAATACTCAATAAATAACACACATTCCAAAAATATATCTCTGATATAAGTGTAAATAATTTAAATAATACAATAGTAAAGAACATCACTTTCATTTGACAAACAACCACAATATACCTATCTCTAATTCATTGGATCAAATCTGTTCTCCTCAAGAACTTCCCGTTTATTGTCAAAACAACTGCAATAGCACATTAAAGTTCTCCAATCAACAATACATGATTTTTGCAACCATGACCTACCATCCATCAATTAATAGAGTACCGGCATGTAAGTAATGTTTGTTTTGTTTTATTTATCTGCTCATTTATTAATTTATTACAATATAATATTACTACTTTATACCAATTGTGGGTCTTGCCTTATCTGTTAATACCTTTTATATATTCAAATTTATTCATTTTGAAAATCACAGACATGTAATATTGGCATAATTACTATAATTTGTATGAACTAACTTATTTGTTTATTTTATCTTTAGTAGACACCACCCTAATTGGGTTTATTTTATTGCAGCATTAGTTTAACTTTGTATCTAGACCTGAAGATGCTTTGCAAATTGTAGAAAGCGAAACCGGTCGTCTGATTGTTAAATTAAATTGATTGTGAGTAAGTCTTATTATTATTTCTTTACCTATTTGATATGGACTCACACAAGCAACACATTCATGATTATCAGTTAACTTTGAAAAATTTAAGGCAAATATCGAGCACAATTTTAATAATCAAATCTTGCCCTTGAAGTACTTTCGCTTTCTACAGCATCATCATGGGCATTTCGTCAAATTTGGACTATCCAGCAAATTGCACCTACTCAGAAAAAGGAATCTAAATCTTTTGTATTTTAAAATGAAACAAATACGATGTTAATGTAGTGGATCAAATGGCATGCAAGTATTCAGTAAAGACATCGTCTAGGCGTTGGCCACTTCACACGTTTTACAATTTACTGAACTTAGCTGTAGTAGACAGAGTGGGACTAGAGTTGTAGTAAATCGAACTCAAATGAAATTAATAAAAAAAAGTTGTACTATCAAATCACAGTGCTCCGGCATCAAATAATCTGTGAAATGAACTGTAAATGTCTGTAAATAATGCACTTCCTTGCAATATTTTATATGTTCATTATGTAGGTAAGAGCTCTATCTAGTAATGTTTTATGTTAGTTTTTTACTTTGTTTTTTACCATAATTTATTATGAAATAACTATATGATATTTCGTTTTTAATTTCCTTTTAAATTTTCGACATACGGGTCAAAAATGACCCGTTCGTGGTTATAGAACTGACAGAAATGTCCGCGCTTCTAAAGATAAATGTTTTGGTTTTCAAGTAAATAATTTCATACCTTCTATTTGGTAGGCTGATGTTGCAGCTCCAAACGAAAATCCATCTGGAAATTTGGTGTTGTCATCCGCTATTCTAAAACAAAAATAGAGTTTAAACAATATTACTATTCCCTATACCTAAATTTAGTAATAGCAGCTAAAAAACTTGAAATATCAATACTTTCAAATAAAATATAAAAACTATTTAATTTATAATAATATTCCCAAGAGATTCTAACAAAAAAAAATAAAAGAGTTGATTTACAGAAAATGTAAGCAAACTTTAAAATTAAAAGTCTGTCGCTCTCTTTAACCACAATAAAATCTGTACTTGCGTATTAACCCTTTGGCAGGCTCAATAATGGTGGTCGACAGATTCCACACTATTCAACTGACTAACATGCTACAGGAATACCAGATAGTTGACAGTTTTGTTTATCTTGAGTCTAGGATAACTCACAGTGGTAACTGTGAAGCAGAAGTTCAGAAACGTATTGGTATGGCAAAAAAATGCGATGAATCGCCTAACTTAAGTTTAGAAAGACAGATCTATCTCCCTGAGGTGCCCTGAACCAAGGAAGAGGTCAACGGCAAAAGGATGTAGAAGACCAGAATAAACCACTACTTTAAAGATTCTTGTGGATATCTCTAGTACAGCTAACCATGACAGAGAAAGAAAGTATGTATACTTTTAATGATCATGGACTTCGGAATCCAAGATCCGGCAAGAGAGGAAGATAACACCTAGACCACGGAGCCTCTCAGGTCGTAAACCCACGATAATCCTCTGTCGTGGAAGTCCACAAAATGGCTACGTGGAACGTCACAACTATGTTTGAAGGCGTAAAATTACACAATATTCAGCTGGAAATGGCCAGACCAGGAAAAATTCCTATCCTAGGTATCTTTGAGACGAAATGGCTAGGGTCAAACATATTCGAAAGCAATAGATACATTATCTACTACGCGGGAAAGCCAAAAGGATCCAGACGTACCGGAGTCGCAATTATTGTTAAAGAAGAAATTCATGACTGTATTAGAAATTTCGTACCTTGCAATGAGCGCATAATTGATGATACAGCTGCAAAATTAATTAAGAATTATTAATATACTACTAGTCTACGTACCAACAGCTGACAAACTAGATAGAAATTGAGCAATTCTACAACCAAATCAAACAAATCTTCCGGAGCACAAAAAAACATGAAGCTACGATTATTATGGGAGACTTCAACGCAAAAGTTGGCGCCGAAATAATACAAGATATAAACGGAAAGTATGGACTTGGAGAAAGGAATGAAAAAAGGGGAGAAACTAATACAGTTAATACTGTTAAGAAGAGAATTACATTATAGCAAATACTTTGTTTCAACAACCTAAAAGACGACTATATACCCTGAAATCTCCAGCTGATTAAGAAGGAAAATTAGTCAAAAACCAAATCGACTGCATTATCATTAACAGAAGGTTTAGACATTATTACATCTGCAAAAACATTCACAGACGCAGCAACTAATTATATTCTGCTCTGTGCTGGATTCAAACTAAAATTAAAAATAATAAAAACCCCGGTAGCTCAAAAAAAACATAATAATTGACTCCTAAGAAATGCCGTTATAGCAGATAAGTTCGAAAATAAGACAAGTCATGAAATTAAAAACAGCGAGAAAGATCTAAACAAGAAAATATCAGACAAGATATAAATGTAATGAATTCCCCCTTGCTTAAAATAGCAAACGAAGTTTTAAAATCAGAAAAAGAGTCAGTAAAGAAAAAGATTGGATGACCGATAACATACTACACCTTATTCAGCAAAGAAGAAATTGTAAACATAAAGATGAAACTCGAGATGGAGAAATAGATCGGCAAATAAGATACGAGGTTAAGCGAGCAAAAGAGGACTGGATGGAACAGATATGTCGTAAGATGGAATACCTACAAAGGAACCATGACGAGTTTAATATAGACAAAAAACTTAAAGACATTACTTACACTCAGAGAAAAATATACACAATACCCTGAAAAGTGTATTGTATGAGCAGGAATTGTAGAATATTATGTCATGGAATGATAATGATACAATAGTGTGTTTCAATACCATAGAAGGGCTACAAAACTTAATGAACAAAATAACGAAAACAAGTAGAACTTATAAACTGGATATAAACACCAGAAACCCAAGTTAATGATCATCGGCAAGGAAAATCTTACTGGAGCAAATCTGTATGTAAACCAAATGAGAATTAAATGTGTCTCATAGTACAACGATTTGGGAACTATAATAATGAGTCATGGAACAAAACCCAAGAGATTAAATGTCGCATCGGAAAAGCAAACAGTACATTCTTGACTATTAGCTCTGTGTTTAAGGACCATGACCTCACCCTAGAAACAAAAATAAAGCTCCTTAAATGTTACATGTACCCAGTTCTTCTGTACGGAGTAGAAACGTGGACATTGAAGACGGAAACTTAAAATCAAAACTTCAGGCTTTTGAGATATGGTTATACAGAAGAACCCTAAAGATACCTTGGGCAGATTAAGTCACCTAGAAGAAGTACTACGGAGGATGAACACAATCGCGGGTTTGGTCAACATCATGAAGGGTCGTAAGCTGCAGTACTTGGGACATATAATGAGGAATCAAGGCAGATATAAGCAACTCCAATGATTTTTACAAGGTAAAATTAAAGAAAACGGGCCCCAGGACGAAGAAGAATATTCTAGCTTGCTAACTTAGAGCATGGTATAGTAAAACAGCTATTCCGTATAGTAACCAACGAAGAATGCCTGCCAACGTCCGGAACGGACAGACACCCTAAGAATAAGAATGTCATTTGACTCTGTTTTATTAGTGGGTATTTTAATGGCGATGATTATTTAGCACTTCTCAAAAATAATGTCATACCAACTTTGCCAAATTGATATTATAATCCAGCAACCCCACAAGTCCCAGCAAGATGGAGCACCAGCCCAATACCAAATCAATATTCGGCATTGCCTCAACCGAATATTTTCAAATCGGTGGAGAAGGAGGCGAGGATTGATCAAATTGTCAGCACAATCTCCTGATCTGACACGATTAGATTTCTTATGGGGACGTGTGAAAAATATTGTATACAAAACTAAACTCCTCGATTTATTCGACTTAAAAGACTAATAACGCTTGCGATTAGATCGGTCACGCCTGAAATATTGAGTAACGTTAGAAGAAATTTTTAATTAAGATTAGGATATTGCCAAGATATTAGCGGCAAGCATTTTTTCATCGCACACATTCACATGAACGTGTGTTTTGGTTTTCTACATTATCAAAAAATAAACGGTATCACAAATTGGTTTTATAGTGTGTTGACGCAAATTTATAGCACAAATCTAAAAACGCCTATTATTTCCAAAACAGTTAAAGGTAGATATAGGACATGGTACGTGAAAAATATCTGGAATATTCTGAAAAATATAAAAATTGGATAATATAGAGTATTGTATTTAAAATAGGAAAGTTGTAATTGACAACTGTTACATGACACACACCCTGTATAAAAAGTATTTATTGCAAATTATGCTTTACTAAAAATACCAGTCGACATGTCCATGCGTATTTTTAAAATCGCCCCCATTTGATAATTGTCGAATTTATTCCATTTGGCTGTTCCACCCCGTATTTATCGTCAAGACGCTATTTACTAAATACGAAGAATTAATGATTTGGAAGTTCTTGAAATAAATGGGAGAGGAAGACCAACTACAACATTGCTTGCAAAAATAGTATTTTATCAGGATACATTTAACGATGTGTTAGCCCATTAAATAGCGTCACCGGACGCTATTTAGATATACCTAAATGTATCTAAATAATTTGCAAAATTTAATATATTCTAATATTTATTGACAATTAAAACTTAAACTAAAAAATTGTTATTTTTACCAAAAACATTAGGATTTATTTCTAACAAATATTTGACAGATTTTCGATTTTAAAAACGATAACATTGATAATCGAAACCGTCCTAAGAGTACAGATAAGGGTGATATAGGGCTGCATGAATTAAAAAAGAGGTTAAATTTAATGGACTAACAACAATCATTATTTAAAAAAGTTTTAAATTATAAGATGTCATAAATTACTAATATACTTACGCGTTACTTAGCAGAAAAGTAAACACGACATATATCACGGGCATCATTTTGAAGCCTTTAAAATGATTTTAAATTCAAGACTTTATATAAATTTTCCAATCACTTTATCTAATGGTAATTATGTAATTGCAATTCACATGAGATTACAATACTATTTTTTAAAATGCTACTTTCAAAAACAGATATTTAAAAAAAATTGAAGTATTATCGTACTGATAAAAGTTATAAACACTTATTTTATGGTATTATGCTATTATTTAAAGCAAATAATAAATATATATTTTATTAAATCTACAAAGCTATTAACACATTTAAATTATATTATATTAATCATCTACTACCGATGGAAATATAAAATAATCGTTTAGACCTAAAAGGGTACAAGAGAGGCATTATTTGCGTTGACGGTACTCCTGCAGAAATGTCGGAAATATAACAAGAGTGCATATGTATGCTTCATAGACTTTAGGAAGGCCTTTGACCGAGTGCAGCATATGAAGTTAATAGATAAATTAAAAAACATCAGTTTAGACAAAAAATACATTGAGTTTATTAAGGCTATATACTGGAACCAGAAAGCAGTAGTAAAGGTGAACGATATAGAAACAAATAATATACCGATTGCGAGAGGGGTTAGGCAAGGATGCGTCTTGTCTCCGACGCTTTTCAACGTGTACTCACAGGTCATATTCAGAAAAGCCTTATGGGAAAGAAAAGAGGGAATAAGAATTGGTGGAGAAATCACAAACACCATGAGATTTGCAGATGACACGGTAATTATGGCTGAGAGTATAGAAAATCTACAAACTTTACTAGATGCAATAAATAGTGAATGCATTCAAATGGGACTTGAGATCAACACAGATAAGACCAAATTTATGATAGTATCAAGGAGTCCAATAAATAATGAACAACTAACTCTTGGTGGACAGCAAATAGAGAGAGTGACAAAATATAAATATCTGGGAGCTTACATCAACACAGAATTAGATCCAGACCAAGAGATCCGGGTACGAATAGAAATGGCAAAGGCAGCGTTCTTAAAATTCAAACAATTGTTCTGTGACAAAAATCTGAATATTGCGCTGAGACTGAGGTTTGTTGAATGTTACGTCTGGTCGCAATTATTGTACATGGTAGAAACATGGACACTAAAAGCGCAAATAGTTAAAAAGATTGAAGCCTTTGAACTTTGGATATACCGGAGAATGTTGAGAATCCCATGGACTGCCAGGGTCACCAATGAGGAAGTGCTGAGAAGAATGAGTCGAGTTAAAAAATTGTTGAGAACGACAAAAGTACGCAAGACTGCATACCTTGGACACATACTATGAAATAATAAATATAGTCTTCTGCAGGTCATCATGCAGGGTAGAGTCGATGGCAAAAAGGGAATAGGTAGAAAGAGGAAGTCATGGCTGCGACATATTCGAGACTGGACAAACATGACTGTAGACGAATTATTCCACGTTGCAAAAGACAGAGAAGCTTTTAAAAATGTGGTCGCCAACCTCCGTTAATGGGGACGGCATACGAAGAAGAAGAAGACCTAAAAGACCACAACATAAGTTGCTTGTACTGGACATAAAAGTAAAAAGCTCAACCGAATCAAAATGTAGGAGAGAACCACAAAAAATCAAATGATGGATGTTAAAAGATGAGAAAGAAAGTCTATTTAGGGCAAAAATAGTAGAAAAATGTGTTGAAACATGAAATAAAGTCCAAATACAATTTGAAGAAATATGGCCAGTATCATTATAGGTATTTCAATTAAAATACTTGGAAAAACGCCAGGAAAGAACTTTATGAATAAGGAGATCTGGTAGTGGTATAACGAAGTTAAGACCAACAGTGACTAAACAGTGGCAAGAAAATAATGTCGAACACAAATCTTCAAAACTATAGTCGCCACAAAGGAAGCAAAGGTGGCAGTAGCAAATGCTAAAGCAGAATCGTATAATCTATTATATAAAAATAAATCACAAAATGTGTTGGTAGCGCATAACTTAACACCGCATGGACCAATTATTTTTTTAAAATGTTTCTTAAAGTCTAAGGATAGTATTTACGACGAGAAAAATTCGAATAATTTCCGGGAAACCCTAAAACAGTCCCTTGCTTTTTCCCATACAAATATTTTCTAACTAAATGCAGAGTCAATTTGAATTTTATTGCTATTCAATAAAGTTTATATTAAATTACAAGCACTCACTGTTGTCTAAACAATGTAGGTGTGTTTCTAACGTCGAAGAGTCAATTTGCACTTTATTGTCGCTGCACAAAGTTTAAAATAAATTAAATGTATGTGTGTGCGCGTGTTTGCGTTTGAGGATCTAATGCGTTCACAAAATAGTGATAATATCGTGAACCCGGCCAAATTGGAAAGTCAAAAAATATGCGATTGGCCTAGCACTATTCTTTCTCTTGTTTTAGTTTCGGAACGCGACATAAATTGCATCAGTTTTCACGTCCTTTTATGTGTCAAACAAACTGCGTTAAAAAGCGTTTATGACCTTTAATAATTAATTTATTAATTATTTAATATACTCTATACACATACAACATTGTTTTGGCTTAAATGACTTAAATCCTAGTCATATAAAATTAAAAAAAAATTAAAAAAAAAAACTAAAACGTAGCGTTATATCCTATTTGATTATATTCTCTTTCAAAAACAAAGTAGAGATTTCACAGACAACTTCAACCTGTCAATTTGCCGGTGTACATTAGTGTATAACACGTATTGTTTTTCTTGGATTTTATGTTACCTTATCTACTCAGTTTTCTTTCGTCATATTGATAAATGAAACAAATTCTCCAGTTTTCTTAGATTTAATTTTAATTTATTGTTTTATGTCGTGTTTTGTGCACAGTGTTTTAATACATGTGATTAATAAATATTAAGTATATTCGATATGCCTACCATAAGACGAAGTTATTTAGGTAGAAGAATCCAAAATGCTACAAACGAAACTAATTAGCGATCTAATCATACTGCACAAGAACGTGATGACCGAAATGAACGTGAACGAATTCGTATATCACGAACGCAGGAAAGGAGAGCGAGAGATTCAACTTATAATCGCGCAAGTTTGAATCGAGCTGCTTTCAATTACGATTCGTCAATTGACTACAGTAACTAGCAATGTGTTACTATTGGATCTATGAACTTGGTTTAATCTCACTTTAAGATCTAGGTGAGGAACTAGGCACAGCTAGCCTTCACGCGATTTAATAAAGTCCAAATAATTCTAAAAGGAATCGTTCTGATTTTAAATACTACATCTGGTATTTTTGTTAACGGCTTAGCTCAGCTAATCAATGACGAAGTTTCCCACCAAACATTGACTCGATCGATCATAAGCACCGTCAAATGCCTGCCTCAATACCTACGCCCAAACTAAAATCGCCTTAAACATACACAAAAACTACATACCTTGCAAAGGCACGTAGTCTAAAATCAAAACTTTACAACCCTATCCTTAATCTTCTTCTTCCTTACCCTTCCCCTTTACAGTGTTCGGAGGTCGCTGTTCCTTACTTTTCGTCGCCGCTCATTTCTGGCTCTCGGTTTTTTTTTTCGCCTAAACCTTTCTCTCTCAAGTCTTCTACCATGCAGTCCCTTCTTCTTCTGCTTGGTTTTTCTCTACATCTTCTTCTATTAACTTGTAGCAGCTCTATCCTTCGTCCCACGTAGTTTTTACTCCTACCTCTGACATGACCACATCATTGCAGTTTTGTTAATGAATCTTTTTTACGACTTAAGTCTTCCAACCCTTTTCCTAATTAAGTTGTTCCTGATCTTGTCACTTCTAGTCTTACCCTACATCCACTGTACCATTTTTATTTCAGTTACCTCTACCTTTTTTTCCTAAATCTTCTTTATAAGCTACATTTTACACATTGTACGATTCGGAGCACCGAAAGTGACCCGCTCTTTCACTTCCAGTTAAAACAACCAGTGTGTATATTGATAACTTCTCGATCCAGTGTCCAATTTTCCGTTACGTAAAAGCCAAGGTATTTAAATTCTCCTACTCGTCATAGACTCTTTTTAAGCAATTCTATGTCCCCACACATTTCGCTTCTACCCAACCACATATACTCTTTTATCGACCTGCTAATCTTGAGTCCTTTCTCTTTAATAGCTCTTCTCTAACACTTCAACTTCTCCTCCAACATTTTTTTGCTCTCTTTCACTTGGTTCTTTGATCTCTTCTCTAATCTTGAATACTTTGCATACTTCGTTAAAAGACCTAAGTACCTAAGAGTCCTAGACCTAAGCGTCTCCCCCAGGTCTTTTTTTGTTCATTCCGTATACTCGCTACTGCTTTCCTGGGTTCTTTATTTGATTAAATTGAGCGTTCACCTATATTAATGAATACTCGGGACAAATGAGATGATCGTAAGCCTACCGACTGGTTGTAAATCCCCTATTTGACGAATTTAACAACTATTTGTATGAGCACTCAGTTTAGAGCCATACATCTTGTAACATCAAGTTGTTTATGTATTGTGCCATATGTTCAATATTGTATTTTAAAGGGACGCCTGATTTAAGGTGTGAAAATTTATAGTTGGTGGTAATTCTCTGTGATTTGTGTAGTGGCTATCAATGATGGGCTTTAGTGTGTATTTTGATGTATGGCGTGTCTTTGTAGTGTAAATTTAGGATTTTTTGTGTTGTATGTCGTATCAGCGTTTTGAATGTCAGGTGGTGTGTAATTGTTTTGAATTTTAGAACTGAAATGGTTCAGGTTGTGACCTGGGGGATGCTGATTGTTGTGTTCTGTAATAGTTTGTTGTTAGGCGTCATAGAAATAGCGTTACCTTGAATTGTGAGGCATATTTCAACTAAACTGAGTTTTTAATTAGAAGGGGACTTTTTTGAGTTTTACACTTGTGAGGTATGTTATTTTGTTTGGTTCTTATCATCTTTGCCTTTTTTCTTTTTTTATGTTATTAAGTCATCCTGTCTCACTTTTCTCCAAAGCCATTCCAAATATACGTCCAAACGTCCTATATGGATTCTCCTATGTGGTTTAATTTTTTGTTTGATTTTTTCTTTAAGAATGTATTTTCAATAGGTATGTAGTGTGCAAACTAAATCAGTCTTTTTCCCATTTCATTTTTGTTACTGACTCCCTACTTGTACTCCTATGACCTGTTTCTTGCCATTTCTGATTCACACTTTGTCATTAAAATTACCAATTAAATACTCGAAGATACTTCTATTGTTATTTACTGATACAGTTATGTTACTGTATAGTTCCTCTATTTCTTTCTTAATCAGTGTGAGTAAATGTAGGAGCTTATACTTGTATACTTTGTATGTTGTATTTCTTTGATAGTTGAAAGGTTAAGTTAGCCACTCTATCCGAGATACTAGTTATTTCCACTACTTTTCGTTTCAATTTTTTATTAGGAATCCAATACCTCCTGTTCTATCCATTGATATTCCTCGGTAGTAGAATGTGTATTTGATGCTAATTCCAACAGTCTACAATTTGTACAATAGATTTGATAGCAAGCGGCAGCTATATATCGCTATATATAAAACGTTTTGGTTTTATTTAAGTAGCAGTTAATATTCAGCAGATCCTTAGCACTCTTTCCCCATAGTACATTATATTATTTCTGGGGATTCCGCAACTGATGTCTTTGTGGACGTCGGAGGTCGAATTCGTTGGCCGAGCTGGCTGACTTTTTAGATCAGCTGTGAACCAATTGTCACTAGTTAGGCATTTATCGGAGATTTTAATGGTTTGCCAGATTTGCTATTAAAATCATACACACCAGAATTTGCAAGAAATGCGAAAAACATGTTGGTAAAATGCAAATTGGATTCCGCCATTCCATAGGCACACGTGAAGCACTTTTTACTTTACAAGTCCTACTTTAGAGATGTCGCGATGTTAGTTGTGATGTCTATATTTGTTTTATTGACTTCGCCAAGGCATTTGACCGTTGTCAGCACTAAAAAATTGTCGCTGCCCTACAAAAAGTAGGATTGGATGAGAAGAGCATTCGGATCATCATGAATTTATACTGGAACCAGCGTGATTAAGTCAAGGTCGAAGACCAGCTGACCAACCAAGTAAAGATCATGCGAGGAGTAAGACAATAGTGTGCTCTCGCAACATATACTGTAAGGAAATTTTTCTGAAGCCCTTACAAACCTAGAGATGGTAATCCAAGTGAACGGTAAATACATCAATAATATTTGCTGCGCCGATGACACTGTGTTACTAGCAACCAGCCTAAATAATCTACAAGCCGTACTAGACCGAGTGAGAACTAAGTAAGAGTAACATACGGATTATACCTTAACATTAGGAAAACTAAATTTATGGTTGTCAGCCGTGCAAATTTAGATTCCGGAGCACTAATGGCAGGTAGCGAAGAGATCCAGAGAGTTGACTGATTTACTTACCTCGGAACTACCCTTAACTCACAATGGAACTACGCTCAAGAGATTAGATCCAGAATTGAAATGGCACTGTCTACATTTATCAAGTTGAGATTCTTGCTGTGCTGCGGTGATCTTAGTTTGGGAACCAAGATGCGGATATTAGGGTGCTACATTATTCCAGTGTTACTATATAGAGTTAAAGCCTGAACACTGACGCAAGCCACAGAAAAGCGGATTGAAGCTTTCAAGATATGGATCTACAGGAGGATACTAAAAATATCGTATGTGGACCATGTCACCAACATTAAAGTCCTAGAGCACATGAAAAAAGAAAAATAAGTGCTTAATTTAGTAAAACAACGTACGCTTAAGTAGCTCGGGCACGTGATGCGGAACGAAGAAAAATATCGAATTCTTTAAATCGTTATGCAGGGTAAAGTATTTGACAGGAGAGGACCGGGACGCTAGCGTATCTCATGGTTTTTCACAATTTCCCCTTCATCCTTCGCCGTTAGGTAAATCATGGTTTGATTTACCTAACGGCTTGGAGATCTTCCCCTAGGTTTCTTTTCTTCAACTCAACCCTCGACTATCAGTTTTTCCATCGTACTTGTTCTTCTAGCAATGTGTCCAAAATACTGCAAATATCTCTATTGTATTTGTTTCAGCAATCTCTCTTTTACTTTAAATTATTCTAATATTATTACGTTAGTGCGATGATCAGTCCAGAATATTCTTAACATGCTGCGGTATACCCACATTTTTATCCACATTCTTTAAGGTCCACGTTTCGGGAGCATATGTGGCTATGGGAAAATGAGTGCCTTTACCAGCCTTAGTTTTCTGTGTATTGTTATGCTAGAATTTTTCCAAACGGTTGCTAGTTTCACTAGCCATAGTCAACCTTCTACGTATCTCTTTGTCACACCCTTTGTCATTTGTTATTAGGGACCCCAGGTATATGAAACTGTTTACTACTTCAAAGCCCCCAATTTTTTTACTGCATTGAAGATTATTCCGAGCTCTGTCTATTATCATGATCTTTGTCTTACTCCTAACTAGTTTTAGTCCATATTTTTTGCTTTTCTCCTCCAGACATCTTATTTGCCGCAATTATTAAAGTGTCATCAGCATATCTCATCTCAAGTTACTGATTTTTTGACCTCCTACCCTTCCATCCGTCTAGTACCTTTCGCATAATGTGTTCGCTGTAGATATTAAATATAGTTGGCGAGATTATGCATCTCTGCCTGACACCTGCCTATATTCTGAAATGTTCGGAATTGGTGTTGTTTATTTTTACTGTGCACTTATTATTTTCAAACAGACATCTAATTAGTTCAATTAAGTGATGGGGTGTTCCAATTTCTGCTAGTATGGACCATAGCTATTTGACTTTATCGAAGACTTTTGTATAATCCACAAAGCACATAAGCATAGGAGTATTATATTCACGAGTTTTTTCCAATACCTATAACAACGTTAAATCTCCAGATATTTATATGTGCGTATAAAGAAAAAAAATTATTCGATTTTAAATATCATTTAATAAATACAAATACAAAGTCTAATACTATAATACGTTATAAAAATATAATGTAAAATATTTATATAATTTTTAAGGTTACCTTACGAATATTCCTAGTAACACAACTTAGTAGTTTTGTTCTTTAGGAATCTGTTAGGTTCGTAAGGCTGTAAAAAAACACCTCACTATTGACTAGCAGAAATAAAGGAGAAGTCACAGATAGGCTAATCCAGATGGGTTTCTAATGTTCTTCCAACATCAAACCGATAATTTAAATGGTACTGTTATTGCAATCAGTTACTAAGTATTGAATATTATTTACTTAATAAAAGGAAACACATCTTTTAAATAATAAATAAAAAGGCGTATGATTTCGTTGCATAACGCCCTACTATATGTATACCTTTAGACAGTTAATAATTAACTTTTTGGTATGGTTGATCTTCTCTTGTAACACTTTCTCGATTTTGAAAAATGCTTTCAATTTCCTTCAGCGATTTACCTGATGTTTCTGGCACCATTAGATAAATATAAAGAATAGCAGTTGCAACAACAACAGCAAATATCCAAAATGAGTATTCATAACCAATATAAACTGAAAATTTTGGAAACACAAAAGTTACTATAAAACTCATAACAGTCATACAAAAAGCAATTAAAGGACTAAGAATAAATTTGAAGTTTGTAGGAAAAATTTCCCCGGCAATTATCCAAGATACTGGTCCCGCACCTAATTTGAAACTTAACATGAATAACATAACACTTGTTATCGGCAGCCAAAACAAAAATTCTATGTTGATATTTTGTTTTTGTAGGTAAAAATATATTCCAAGACTGACCAGTGATATAAGTTGGCAAAAGTATGAAACAATCAACAGGTTCTTTCTTCCCCAACTATCAACCAGTTTTGAAACAAATAGTTGTACTACAATTTGAAAAGCCCCCACTAACATTACTGATTTATCGGCTGGAATGGTCGACTCAGAAGCATAAAATATAGTTTGTTGATAAGCAAATATAGCATTACTGCCATTAAACTGTTGAAAGAACATTAGCATAAATGCAATTAAAAAGCTTTTCCCTACAGCTCTTGACCTACATAATTCATTTATTTTACCGTTATTCTTATCCTCATCTATAGAATTAATAATACTCTGTAACTCATCCTGTACATTACTGGTTTGCCTAGATAACATTAAAGAATGTTGAGCCTTTATTATTTTGTTTTGTTTAACGCAGTCATAAGGACTTTCTGGCATAAATATACCAAAACTTAAAAAAAATACAATAGATGGCAATAATGACCACAAAGCTAAGGTTCTTATAGTAACATAAGGACCTATCAAAAACATTAAATCTTGCGTTAACGTTAACATTAAAGGGAGAAACATACTTGTACGTCCCCTATGTGTAGCCACTGACATTTCTGCTACATATACTGGGACTAGCGAAAATACACAACCTGTTCCCATACCAAGCAAAAATCTTGCGATATAAAAATGGATAACTTTGTTGGCAAATATTAGTATAATATGAGAGATCATTTGAGGTATGGCAAATAACAATAACGTTTTCTTTTTTCCTATTTTATACGCTATGCATCCTGTCAACAATGGTCCAAAAATTGCACCCATACAGTGAAGAGCTGTAATCCAAGATATTTCTTTTATGGTGGCTGGTTTTGGAAGTGGATTGAATTCAGGATCAACTTGTCCCGCAAGCTTTGGAATACAAGGAGATGACCAGGCATAGCCTATACCTGCTAGCATTGACATCAAGTTTACTGAAAAATAGGTATTTTTGTTATACAGTCATAAAACTTTTAATTAAATTTTGGATGAAATTTACAAATATCATATAATTAAGAAAAAAGAAGTACTTGTCCACTAGTTTGGAAAAAATAAAATTAGGTTTCGATGGATTGGAGTCTATAAAAGAGGCTCTTAGAGAACTATTTTTTTTTTCTTGAGCTTTCAATTCGACCCTCCCGACGAAAACTGTTGTAACTCAAGATCGCTCATTCCGAGATAATTGCGTTTAAAAATAATTGTGAAAAGTGACGTTCTGTAATTTTTAAATTATCACTACTACGTTTTTAATTTTTTCACTTAGTAATAATTTGTGCAATCAGAATGGTTTTGAATGAGTTACTACAGTCAGAACCAATCTAACAAAAATGAGACAACTAAACAAACAAATCACTAAGAATATTAGAAAAGATATAAGAGACTACAACACCAGAGAGATATCAAAAGTCATAGAAGAGAACAAAAGTTTAAAAGTCTTCATAAGGAAACAGCAAATAGGAAAGAAAAATATTTACAAACTGAAAAACACAAAGGGCGAAATAATAACAGATAAACAGGAAATTCTACAAACTGTCGGACAATTTTACAGCGACCTCTACAGCAAAACAGAAGAAAATGTTCCAACTGACAACATACCAAGTGTTCTAAACCAGGGCTCGGAAGACATACCAGATGTTACTGTTGATGAAATCAAAAAAGCTCTCTTACAAATGAAAAATAATAAGTCACCTGGCGACGACGGGGTCGTTGCCGAAGCCATAAAATTAGGAGGCGAGAAACTGATACAAATGCTTTCCATACTTTTCACAGAATGCCTTGAAAGAGGAACAACACCATCACAATGGCAAAATGCAGTGATCATTCTAATGTTTAAGAAAGGAGATTTAACAAATCTCGTAAACTATAGACCAATCAGCCTCATCTCACACATATACAAGCTTTTTACAAAAGTCATAACAAACAGACTTTCGAACAAAATGGACTTTTACCAATCATGCGAACAGGCAGGATTCAGGTCAGGCTTCGGCACAAACGACCATCTACAAGTTATTAAAAGCCTCATCGAAAAATGTATAGAGTACAATAAACCCCTCGTCCTAATATTTGTGGATTATGAGAAAGCATTCGACACAGTAAACCACCAGAAAATGCTAGAAGCTTTAAAAGAGTGCCGAATAGATCACCGCTACACCACTGTCATCAAAAATATCTATGATAATGCCACGGCATGCGTCAGACTCCATGAAGATACACACAAGTTCAACATTCATCGTGGAGTTCGCCAGGGCGACACCATTTCACCAAAACTGTTTACAACATTATTGGAATACATGTGTAAGCGTGCAAACCTAGACGAAAAGGGCATAAACATAAATGGAGAGCAGCTTAGTCACCTCAGGTTCGCGGACGATATAGTCCTGATAACAGACCGCATAGATCATGCCATCGAAATGTGCGAAAGACTCTACCATGCCTCTACACAAGTGGGTTTAAAGATCAATAACTCAAAAACACAAGTGATGACAAACCTTGTTCTGAGTGAGAACATCAACATAGCTGGAACAAGTATAGAACAAACATCAGCATACAAATATCTGGGACACGAAATTCGCTTAAGTAGAGATAACCAGACCAATGAACTAATACGTAGAATAGGGTTGACATGGGCAGCTTATGGAAAGCTAAGAGATGTTTTCCAATCAGCTCTTCCCATCTGCTTGAAGAGAAAAGTCTTCGATCAATGTGTGCTGCCGGTTCTAACCTATGGTGCGGAGACGCTAACACTTACTAAGACGTCCGCAAACAAAATTCGAACAACACAGAGGGCAATGGAACGGTCCATGTTGGGATTAACCCTGAGAGACCGAATACCCAACACAGAATTGCGCCGTAGATCGGGAGTAACCGACGCAATCAAAAGAATATCAACCTTAAAATGGAACTGGGCAGGGCACGTCGCGAGAACGAAGGACGGCAGATGGACAAAACGCATTCTTGAGTGGAGACCCAGACAAGATGCCTTTAGGAATAGAGGACGACCACCAACAAGATGGACGGATGACCTGAAACGGACACATCAAAATTGGATGCAGGCGGCTCAGGACAGAAATTTGTGGGGTGAACTACGGGAGGCCTATGTTCAGCAGTGGACGAGTATGGGCTGAATGATGATGATGACTACAGTCTTCGTCGTTGACAGCTCCCTGGGAGGATGCACAATGGGTCAATTGTGGCCTAAGTGCTATGAAACTTAACTTGCCCTCCCTACTCTACAGAGCGAGATGGTTGACCAATCAGTATTTTAAACATAGGACTAAAAAGAAAGTTAAAAAACATACAAGTCGTACAACATTAATTTTAAGCCTTCTTAGTTCACATAATTCAATTGGATTTGTAGTAGCACAGAGTTAGAAAAATTGTATTGTTGGCCATGTCTTCTCTTTTCAAATAAACAGTCTGTGTGGAATAGAGACGGTTTTGCTGATTTTTTGAATGTTAATAGATCGTTGCATAAGCACGCAGATTCTGGAGAGCATTTAAAAAACCAATTAATGTTTAGAAATTTCAAACAAAATCAAAATACGATTGCCGATGCATTAAAAGAAAACGCTAGATTACGTAAACTAAATTTTAATGAAAATGTTCGACTTAACAGGATTTGTTTGCGGACAGTTATTGATGCAGTTTTGTACCCCAGCAAACAAGAGTTGTCTTTTAGGGGACATGAGAAAAACGACTCGAGTAACAGGGATAATTTCAAGGAGTTATTAAATCTGTTAATTGTTCAAAGCCCTATGGAAACTAAAAATCATTACGAAAAAATCAAAAATGTTTTTAGTGAAGAATCAAAAACAATTCAAAATAAATTAATTGAGTGCATTTCTGGTTACATAAATGATAATATTATAACTGAAATTAAAAACAGTCCATTTTTTTCCTCCAAATTGATGATACTACTGACATAACGCAGATGTCGCAGTCTTCAATAATATTAAGATGCGTAAATTCTCAAGGACTATTAATTGAAAGGTTTATGGGATTTTACGATGTAAGTGCCGGTAGAACAGCTGAGCATTTGTTCAGTATGGCTGCGACAGTTTTAGAGCCTTTGGAATACCGACATAAGCTTGTAGGACAGTGTTACGATGGAGCCAGTGTGATGTCAGGGCACTTAAATGGACTTCAACAAAAAATTAAATCACATGCCCCACAAGCAATTTTTGTGCATTGTCTAGCCCATCGACTTAATCTTGTTTTGCAACAGAGCTTTAAGAAAATATCAAAATGTCGAATTTTTTTGCAACTATTACCGGAATCCCATCGTTTTTTCATAGTTCAGCAAAACGATCGTACGCTCTTGCATCTACATCGACTAGACGTATGCCAACAATTACAGAGACAAGATGGTCGTCTAATTCAAAATTAATCAGTGTAATTATATTAAAGACTGGGAAAAATTAAAAGGGGTTTTTGATAATATAATGAATTCTGAAGAGTCAGACCGCAAATTAGTTCAGCTGGTTAAAGGGTTTTTAAGAGATTTATATGATTTTGAGTTCACATTTTTAGCAACAGTTTTTAGCGACATTTTGCATATAACAGATATTTTATATGATGTTCTTCAAAAAAATCCCTAGATATTAATTTTTGTTTAAACCAGATAAGAAGAACTCGTCAATTAATTAGTGATAAAAAAATGAGAATTTTTTAATTCTATTTTTGAAAAAGCAATCACAATGACGGTCATTAATACTTCCAAACGGTTATAGGTGTGATGATGGTATGAGCAAGAATGCAATTACTACTCAATACAAAGCATTATTTTTTGAAAGATATGATCATATTTTAAGGAAATGAATATACGTTTTCAAGATTGTGATAAATTAAAATTCGTAAGCTTAGCAGATACTACAAAATTTGAGTCATACAGTTAGACCTTCCCTTCCGACGATTTTCAAAATTTATTTGAGGTTTATGGTACACAGTTTACTAAACATCAAAGACTTAAAAGTGAGCTCTGCCTTCTTTATGCCGACAAAAATTACAAAGATGTGAATTTGCAAGAATTGGTTATAAAGTTACAACCAATTAAAGACAATGTTGCAGAAGCCTATAATTTGTTTTGTTTAATTCTGACAATTCCATCGACAAGCGTTTCCGTAGAAAGAAGTTTTTCGTGCTTAAAAAGGTTAATAGTACATTGTTTAATAGCTTAAAAAGGTTAATAGTACATTGTTTACCGGGTAGGAAAAGCTTAACATTCCTGGACGACTGTGAAGATTGCTAAGTCGAGGCGCAAGCCGAGACTTAGCAACACAGAGTCCAGGAATGTGGCTTTTCCTACGAGGTAAACATACTATTTTTCCGCAAATCGTTTAAAATTCGACAGATATTGATTGATTTAAAAAAAAACGCGATAATTTTATTCCCAAATAAATGGTGCTTTGAAATTCCTAATAAAATTACTTGGGTTACTATGGAAACGTATTGAGGTTGAATTGTCAAACTTGACGCTTATAAATTTAATTGCTGGTGTTCTCGAAAGTAAAATGATAGTACGAAAATGCATACAGACGTTTTATGGATTATCGCATGAGTAAAAATACTTGTCCTGACTTTTTCTTCAAGAAATTTTGACAGGAATGTATGTATGTATGACAGGAATTTGACAGTTAGTACAATTATTGAACTGTCAAAATTTCTTGAAGAAAAAGTCAGGACTTCCTTACTGTAAGGAAATGTCATTTCCTTACTGTAAGGAAATGATATTTCCGTACAGTTGTTAGTGTTCTACCTAAATGATAGAAAACACATTGCTTATAAGGAATTAATTTATATTTTGAAAACATCAAGTCATTGCTGAATACACTTTTAAGATCAATTTGTTATATTTACAGTAATTTGACAGTTAGTACAATTATTGAACATTGGAGGAACACTCTTAGAACTATGAGAAACATTTTGGACAACATGCAGGGTGGAAGTGTCATTTTGTTGAATATTTTGTACTGTGAAAATTTTATTTGCCACCTCAACCTTATTGTTAAGCGATTCTTCGATATATCCTTCAGCAACGTTTGATGACTTCCATCCGCCATGCCTCTTTAAACTAGTTATGTCGGCACCAGAGTCAACCAATATTGTTGCAGAAGACCGACGAAAGCAGTGACCAGTATATTCTGTCGGATTTACCAAGTTCAAATAAGTAGCAATTATTTTGGGCATTTTTCTAAATTGATGAATTCCTACCACTTGTCTACAACCCTTTCCGCTTTGATATTTAAAGAAAAATCGGTCACTGTTCATATTTTCTGGTCTTAACGAAACATACTTTCGATAAACATTCAAGTAGATCTGATTAATTACAAATGATCTTGGTTTGTTGGTTTTCGAATCAGGTATGCTGATTAAAAGCTTAGATTCTAAGTCTTCTATATCGTGTACAGTCATTCGGACTAACTCATTCATTCTACAGGCCCCAGAAATACCAAATATTACAGCCACCTAAAAAACAAATAAAGCTATAATCTAAATAGAAATTAAAACCTTGTAAATTACCTTAATCATTAAATTTTCTTTATCTGGAGCTTCCTGGATAAATTTTTCAATTTCTTCCTTCGTTAAAATCTTAGATTTCTTTGCCCTATAACCTTGAGCTTGCCGTTTCAATAAAGAACAAAGTTTTGAGTATGTAGATATATCTACATTGTGTTTAAGTGCAAGGGTTGACTTCAGCATTGAATAATTGGCCCATAATGTTGAAGATTTCATCTTTAAACAAAGGTCTAGGAAGTATGCCATTACAACATTTTCTGAGAAAGAACTCGTATTTTTACTCATGCGATAATCCATAAAACGTCTGTATGCATTTTCGTACTTTTCTCTTGATTTCTTTGGCAATAATTCTAATGAAGCAGTATTCACTGCCTCAACCAGCTCTGGAGGAGTCCCAGGAATGGAAATTTCATCATCACTTATCATTTTACTTTCGAGAACACCAGCAATTAAATTTATAAGCGTCAAGTTTGACAATTCAACCTCAATACGTTTCCATAGTAACCCAAGTAATTTTATTAGGAATTTCAAAGCACCATTTATTTGGGAATAAAATTATCGCGTTTTTTTTAAATCAATCAATATCTGTCGAATTTTAAACGATTTGCGGAAAAATAGTATGTTTACCTCGTAGGAAAAGCCACATTCCTGGACTCTGTGTTGCTAAGTCTCGGCTTGCGCCTCGACTTAGCAATCTTCACAGTCGTCCAGGAATGTTAAGCTTTTCCTACCCGGTAAACAATGTACTATTACTTACAAGAAACACTATTTCGCAAGATAGACTATCCAGTTTGACTGTTATCGCAATTCATAAAGAACTGTTGAATGAACTTAGGCAGAAGCATTTTTTCTACGAGGATATTATTAATATATTTGCCTCCTTAAAAGACCAAAGGATCGACTTGATTTATAAAAACTATATTAGTTCTATTAGTCTATCTAATACTGCTTTTTGTTGTTTAAGTATCTCTTCATATCGGTTCTAGTATCATCACCATCATCATTCGGCAACCTCTTGCATCCAATTTTGGATATAGGTCTCCTCCATATTCTTACATTGGTCTTTATCTTGTGCCATCTCTATCGAATTTCCAAATGTTTTTCTCAAGTCATCCATCCATCTCTTTGGTGGTCTACCTCAGTGTCTTTTATCTTCTCTAGGTCTCCATTCTATGAGTCTTTTGGTCCACCTATTATCATTTAAACGTGATATATGTTCAGTCCATCTCCATTTGGCTTGTTCAATTTTTCTATGACATCTGTCACTTTAGTCCTCTCTCTCTCTCTCTCTCTCTCTCTCTCTCTCTCTCTTTCTCTCTCTTCCTCTCTCTCTCTCTCTCTCTCTTTCTCTCTCTTCCTCTCTTCCTCTCTCTCTCTCTCTCTCTCTGTCATCCCGTAAGAGGTTGTTGGACCTCCATCGGGCGCCTCCCCAGATGGCGGATAGGGGAATGCCTCCTAGATATAGATGGTACCGGGGAAATGCAATACTCGGGGTGGACCAAAATAAACACTGCAGTGTCTGATCCAGAGTGGTCGGCTGCAATCAGCATCTGACCCAGAGTGGGCGGCTGAATCGAAACTCAACAAACCCATTTTACCAGATGAGGTGTTTTAATCGCCAAAAAACCCTCAATAACATGTCGAAGGTTCAGAATTAAAATACTTCAGGCAAGTAGAACGAATCGTATCTAGTATAAGTGCCCTAAAAAACTGTTTTCAAGTTATTAGAGCCCCAAACTCTATATTTTTTTAACGAATTTTTAATGAGATTTGGGCGCGACGTAGGTATCAAAACTCCTTTTGGTTCCAGCAAGGTTTCCTCGTCTTTACCACTTTTTTAGGCTACGAGCCGCCGCTGGTTGAAAGGCCCTTTCATTTAAACAATTTAAAATTTTGAATTCTGTATTCAGCATTGTTTTCGAAACTAGAGTTAGACTGATGTTCCCGTTTTATGAGCCCAATACTTTGATTATTTGGCTTATATAATTTTTTTAATGAGGCTAATATTATGAGCAGTTAAATATACAAAAATTGACGTATGTAATTACTATCATAGTTACTGATTGTGTCTGGAAGTGGATTAATCAGCAATTTCTGACTATCCCTAAATTGGCGAACTACTACGTTCTACGATTCCGGCTCAAAAGAATTAGTAATTTCGTTTACTAAGCTTTTAAGAGTTTTAAAATGTCCTTTTGTGTTTTTAATTGTTCATGATATTTCTTTATTAACTTCGAATGGGTTTAGTCCTCATTTGCTGTTATTTTTTTTTCTAGTTAAAAAAATGCTTATCTTCTTATTCTACCGGACTCTTCGACGCAAATTGCATATTTACACAAAGATTAGTATCGTCGTTTATATTACCAGGTTGATAATAGGAAAGTTATTTAGAATAGACTTAACCTTTTATTTTAATACTTTAAATATTTTAATAGTACATACCTGAGGCAGCTATGCAATATGAAAAGTTTATCTTGTGTTTAGCTGTAAAATCCATCTTTACTTTCTATTATATCAGTCAAATGGAGCAATTTTGGTATTTTTTTCTCTAAAAATAAACAAAATATTATATTCTTGATTAAATAAATTATGATGTTGATTCTTATTCAAAAAATAATTTGTATATTAAATTTATGTTTACATATTTAACATTAGGCATCTCTTTGTTAATTTTTCTATTAAATAATAAAATTAATTTGAGATAAACTGTATTTATTAATTTTTTCGCCAAAGACTTGTACAAATGAGAGTTAGATCAAAAACTGGACTAGTTTAGTTTTGAGAATATAGATGAAACATATGAACATATAAAATCCTGCATGAAGAAATCAGCAGCGTACCTTAGGTTGCGAAGAGAGAAGAACAAATAGATATCGACAACGTCTATCGGAAAGTACGGAAGAATGTATTAAGCAGAAGAAACAGTTATATCATAAATGTTTAAGTTCAAAAGAACAAGTAGACCTAGAGAGATACAGAGAGAAGAACAGAGAGTAATAACAAAAGATAAAAATAATAACTGGGAATCAACATGTACGAACATCGAACAATACATAGGAGGTACAAAAAACTCAGAATCCTGGAAAGTAATAAAGAGTCTGAAAGAAAACACACAGGAAAAAAACACATTTTACTTTCATAAGCGAAAAACAACGGAATAATTACTACCAAGAACTCCTGACAGAAAAGCGAACAAAATTCGTGGAAAAAGAACAACAATTAACAAATACAAAGGAACAACTAAATTTATCATTGGAAGAAGTAAAAAAAAACATAAAACAAATAAAAAATAATAAGTCTGCAGGCCCCGGAAAGATAGCACCCGAGCTAATTAAATAAGGCTCGGAAAAAATTGTTCGGTATGATATATACCATGTTTCAGAGAGCCTTGGATACCGAACAACAACCTGAAGAGTGGTCGAGAGCCCATATTATCTCTATTTTTAAAAAAGGGGATAGGAGAAAATGTGAAAATTACAGCGGCTTAAGCATTTTACCATTTATAGGAAGATTATATGAAAAAGTAATAAAGGAGAAATAGAAAAACCAATCCAAAATAAAATAGAGGATGACCAGGCAGGTTTTACAGCTAGGAAACCATGTGTTTACTACATCTATACTGTACAACAGCTAATAGAGAAGTAGATGGCAAAGAACAGACCAGTCCTTCTGGCCTTTATTAACCTAAAAAAGGCATACGACTCTGTGCCCAGACAACGACTGTGGGAAGCCATGCAACAAATAGGAGTAGAAGATAAGCTGATCCATGTAGTGAAGTCCATGTACACACATAATATTGTTACAGTCAAGGTACGTAACAAGTTTGGAAAACCATTTAAAACTACGAAAGGTCTCGTACAGCGCTACTCAACTTCACCTACAATCTTTAAAATATTTCTTCAATACGTCCTAAACACATGGAAAACGAAATGTGAGAGAATGGGAGTACCCATAAGGAACGACCATCTGTATACCCTCAGTTTCGCCGACGATCAGGTCATAACAGCACAAGACGAGGAAAATCTAAGTTATATGGTTCGAAAACTAGAAGAAGAATATAATTAAATGGCTTAATATAAACATTAACAAAACAGAATATCTGAACACAATACAAGAACAACAAGAAACCTGGAAGTGAAACGGGCGTGAAATAAAGGGGACCGATAAATTTAAATACCTGGGGTTCATTATATTAAATAAAGGTACTACAGAAGAAGAAATTAAAAATCAAGTGGGTTAAACCAGAAACTCTATAAGACAGCTGAATCCAATCTTATGGGACAGACACATAAAAAAAATAACAAAAAAATAATTTATAACACGATGATTCGCAGCATTCTAACATATGGAGCAGAAAATTGGGTCTTAAACAAAAGCAGCAGAAATAAAATAAGAGCCACAGAAATGGATTACTGGAAAAGAAGCTGCAGAGTTTCCAGAATGGACAAAATAAATAACGACGAAATCAAAAGACGAATTAAGATAAAGAACGAACCTTAAATTACATTGAAGGAAAAAGATTAACGTGGTATCGACATTTGGCATACGATATGCTGATGATGGTGTCTTAATTTGTGACAACATAGTCGATCTTCAACAACTTGTCACTATAATCGGAGAATACAGTGAGCGAATGGGACTAGAGATTAATACCAAAAAAACCAAATTCATGATCATCTCCAGAAACTTGGATGCACTTGAAAACTCCACCATAACACTGAATAGTAAATCCATAGAAAGAGTGAGTAAATTTAAATACCTGGGATCGTGGCTTTTTGAAGACTGGGCATCGGACAGGGAAGTAAAATGTCGCATTGAGCAAGCTCGACAAGCCTTCGTAAAATTCAAGAAGGTACTGACTTGTTCTGAGTTCGATCTTCAACTGAGACTAAGGTTTACTAAGTGCTACATATGGTCAGTGCTGCTATATGGCGTAGAGGGCTGGACACTCAAAACGAGGGATATAAACAGATTGGAAGCTTTCGAAATGTGGCTTTATCGCCGTATCCTAAAAATACCATGGACAGCGAAAATCACAAATATGGATGTCCTTAAAAGAATAAACCAAGAACGCCAACTTTTCGAAACCATCAAGAAAAGGAAAACGGCGTATCTAGGTCACATCATGCGAAATGAAAAATATCAATTCCTCCAACTTATTTATAATCGAGGGTAAAATTGAAGGCAAGAGAGGAATGGGACGCAAGAAAATGTCCTGGCTCCGAAACATAAGGCAATGGACAGGGATTAACGACATACAATCTCTGATACATATTGCAAGAAATAGAGAGTTAATGGAAAATGTGATCGCTAACATCCATTAGTGGATTTGCATCTGAAAAAGAAGAAGGTATGGACATGTCAGACGAACAGACCCACACCGATGAATAGCAAAAATAACAGAGTGGAGCCCCATAGGAAAACGCAAAAGAGACAGACCAAGAAGATTTTTTAGAGATGAGGTAGATGAAGCCATGGAAAGAAGAGGATTGGAAGACGGAGAATGGGAGGGCAAAGAAGAATGTAGAAAATGGTTGAGAGACGGGAGACAGCGACAGCTGTAGAAACCCCTTTCATAAATATGAATATTATTGTGTGGCATTGTGTAAGTTCTAAGAACTTACGAACAAAACTATTCTAAGCTATACTAAATTATTTTAAAATTATTGGGATTAAAAACAAACTTAAGACAAATTGAAGAGTACCACTTATTTTTCTTTTATTTTTAGTTGGTCAGTTATCAATGCTATTTACGATTTTAGGAAATATATTTTAATATGAGTTTGATATGGTTTGTTTTGATTTATTTAACCCTATTTGACGAGTACCTGAGTATCCCAATATATTGCAAACAGCAAAAATACCCTCTTAACTATTAGTAGCGAGGGTAGCTCAAAACGGTTCACATAAGACAAAAAAATCTTAGTAATGCTTAGTTATAGGCCAAAAAACTCGGAAAGCTAGTTTTAGATTCATCAACCATTTCGCTTCCAGTAGGGTATATGCTATTAATATTTAAAAATGTATAATAAATGTGTTTCACAATATTTCAAGCGTTTGCAAAATGATAATTTTAGTCAATCGGGTAGGGTTAAATGATCCTCACTTTTTTTGGAAAAATGGTTAGTTATTATTAAAAATAAAGTTAGATAAAAGAAATTACAACCAGTTTAACCCAAATACAAAAAAAGTAAACTCCTTGTAATAGGCTAAGTAACTCAACATGGATTATATAGTAGAATAATTACAACTATCTAAGAACTCTATCTATCTTAGCATTTTGGAATTTTTAGTACAATAATAGCAGGTTTAAAGGTCACAATCGTTGCCCTCTATTCCATCACTGTCATCATAGGTCACATTAGAACAAATAAAACACTCTTCATCTTCTTTAACACCGGTCTCTTCATCATCTAGTTTTTTCTTTTTTTTTATATTTTTGATTAAACATGGTTTTTAGTTTTTTCTGTTTGCTTTCCATTAAATGCAGCTTTATTTTTTTAATTTAAGAGCTTTTTCTCATTTAGTAGTGCGTAGTGGTTGTGACAAGTTAGGAAATGAGCAAATACCTTTCGAAACAAATAGAAAAAGAGGTCGTCGGTATACATTAGGAGCCAGCGTCAATATGCTGACAAATGGCTGAAGAAAGCCAAAGCTCCTTTTTGTCAAGGTCATCGTTGTCTAAACTGAAATCCTTACGAGAATTTTTTTAACAAGCAGTTGTCTAAACTAAAGTCAAAAGGTCTGTTATATTGAAATTTCCAGTTTGCTGTCTGTTTTCCGGTTCGTCTTGCTCTGCAACTTCAGCAGTGGCGAAATCTACTTTTAAGAAAACATCTGAATTGTAAGGTACGATTTCGGCTTTCTTATACCATTCCAGGGTTGCAGGAATTTTAATAAATCCTACATACCCATTAAAAATACTTAAAATTTTAAATACTGTAACAGCTACTCTCAGGTGAACCGTCAGCTATTTTTTTAGTGCTTGATCATGGTAGTGATTAAGGATATACAGAAAACTAAGATCTAATGGCTGTAGCGTGTGTATAACATGTAAGTGTAACATGGTAACAAAATTACTTCTGACTTTTTTGATGACATCTAAGTTCTTAGTGTGAAAAAGATGAGGGTCAAGAATTAGGAGCACGAGTCTTGTTTCACCACCCTCCTTCGAGAAACAAATAACATAGGTGGAACATATATCAACATCCCGCAGACATACAAATGACTACATTAGTAAATAGACCTCGGTAGAAAGAGACTACTCTAATAACTTGTTTTTGAGACCTGTTTTGGCAAGAATCATATGTTTTTTTTCTGGTACTGCACTTACAGATGTCTTATCTACAATTTATATCCTGAATTGGGTAATAAAGTTTTATTTAATACGGTTTTAGGCAAAGTCAAAAAATTTGCTAAAACAGTTTTGTTAAAAGCGCGAATTCACGAAAGCACGATCGATGTTGCTTCAGAAGATTTCAGTGAAAGTAGAAAACCCTTTAACCATTTTTTTAAGTTAAATATCAAATGCGATTACAGTAAA